TTTTGTTTTGCTTGTGATATGGGTTTCGGCATGGTTGATTTTAGGGGGTGGGTTGAGAAATGGGGTAAAAGTGTAGGGGGGGGGTCAGGATGTGAGGTGTGGGGTATGCCTATGCTTGCTTTCTTATGGTAGCTTCAGACCCTCGTTGCCTCGGAAGTTCAGGGAGCCGTGGCTCAGCTTGAAGTTGGGGAAGTCTGTTACGGTGTGCTTGTTGCGGTGCAGTCCTCTGCTTGCACCGTGACAGGAACTACTCCAGTGGCACAGAGCTCGGACCTGGGCAGCTCCGACCCGTTTCGCAAACCGTCGCTGGGCCGCAAACTACGTTGCAATGCCAGGCTGCACTCGGCGGGGTGTCCTATCATGTTCAAATGAGTGAAAGGTGGCAATCACCCAGCCCAAGTCAAAGCGAACCACCCAATCCAACGGCAAAACCTGCACTTCATATGTGCAGGTCAGCACGTTAGGTTTGGGTACTTAGCCTCAGCTTCTGCACCTGCGCGTTCCGATGCAAAAGGTGCAATCATCGCTACTGTCTCACGCTGTGTGAGCTGGAAGGCCGTGACTTTGGTGGATCTACGGCTGCTGGCCCTTGGCGAATTCCCAGGTGCAGATGGCCAGGAAGAGGCTTTGGCAGCTGCGGACCAGGACAGAAATTCACCATTAAAACAAGTAGTCAGTATCGCAGAGTCCCTTCAACAGTCCCTGGACAGTTGCACTGCAATAAAGGTACCCCAACAGCCTCTTCGAGCTGTTACGGCCCCCAAAATTAGGCGATCGGCCTTGGAGGGACTTGAGAGTTTTGGGGCCTTTGCCGATGCCAGGACCGATCACAGAACGTCGAGCTCGCGGAGTTCCTGACGTTTGCAGGTTGGGATGGGGTAGTCCCAATCCTAATGCTCGAGGCGCCAGGCTTGTTGAAAAGCCCCTTAAAGCGTGGACATGGGGACGGGGTCCAGGCGCCGTCCGATTCGTTGGGGGATTTCGGTTGCTGTGCTTCCTGGACACTTCAGTCTGGCTGGGCAAGGAGGAATAGCTTTTTCACATGACCTCGTTGGCATAGCCTAGCAGCAGCACACACTGATCGGGCACAACTGTAATGGGGTCAAGCATCTATGATTCAAGGACACTTGGGAAACACGCCTGCCGGACAATGGGCCAATCTTTGACCGAGTTAGTGTACAGAGCAGAATAGCAAGGTGCAACACGAAAGCGCCAATTGTGATCCAGCATAGGGAACATTGCAGAAGAACACGGCCGCAACAAGAAGGGTCAATCTTGCACCGAGCGAGCACGCAGCTGTGACACGAAAGGGGTCAATCTTTCACGTGGCGAGCATGCTTGGGAGAAGAGCGGGGCTGCAACACGAACGCGGGCAACTTTCACGGAGAGGGCATACTTTGCAGGAGAACGGGGCTGCAAGACGCAAGATCGCGGCTGCAAAACCAAAGTGGTCAATCTTTCACAGAGTGAGCATGCTTTAGAGAAGAATGTGGCTGCATCAGGGGTCAATCTTGCACCGAGCGAGCATGCCCCTGGTGTAGCAAGTCCTGCACCAGCAGCACACAGAGTTCATCCGCTTTGACAGGTACTGTGCTTGCAGTGAGCAATGTCACAAATGCTCGGGCAATCTTTGACTCTTTGGATGTTTCGTCCACGATGCGGCTGCGACCGATGCAGCTGCCGCTTGCCCGAGCAAGCGTTTTGGGGCTCGGTACTGTTACAGGCCCCTCGTGGACCCGTGGTGCTTCACGAGTCTTAGATTTGTGCTTTTGCACGACTCATTGAGGTGGGCCGTCACAGCAGAAGTTGTGGATTTGCCACTGTTGCGACACCTGGTCTCTGTGGAGTTTCCCGGAACGACGCTTGACCAAGCATCGGTACACAAGCGTCCAGAGACACTGGCATGCTCGTGACACCATGTTGTTCCTGTCTATTCTGCATTTCATGATGCGCAGGTTCATGCGTGCGTGACAGGTCATGACGCACAATCCTCTCAATATTGCAGTTTCGGGCGGCGTGCAGCTACATGTACAGAACGTATCAGCCGTGCAAACGTTGTTCTTGTTCATTCTGTGTGCATTCTGCTATCGTGCGTCAGGGCCACTTGAAACCCCAACGTTGTGCAACACTTTACACGATTTGGTCATATCTGCTCTGGCTCTGCGAGCAGTGCCTTTCCAAGCACACACAATTGGGAATAAGATTGCCAGCATTTCCAGATTCTATGCATGACTATGGTCAGGCATTCTGTGAATTGTGCCCTCTCTCTGCCTGTTCGTGGAATGCCGCTAAGGACCTCGATTTTTGGAATGGTGGACACTTCCGCGATGCTTGGCGAAAATGAATGCCGCGGCTGGCCAACCGACACCGCAACATCACGAAACCTCTCAGATGTCGCACACAGTGCGATGGCCATAGCACCCGACCAGAAACGTTAGCCCTTATTCCATTGCAACAAGTACAACGGTGGGTACAGTCAATGGTTAGACTCGCGCTCTGTACCCGGAGTGGCAAGAAGCAAGAGTGCGCAAGAACGGCTGACAGCGAGAAAGGATTTCGTTGTTTGGGGCAGTTGGAAGGAGAAAACAGCTTAGTCAGATCAAGCCGGCCTCTGATTTGTATAAAGAAACGGAGAGCAGTGTTTGAGACTTGAGACGTGGCGATTCCAGGGATGGTGGTGTCAACCAAGCAGAGCTGGAGCAGTTCGCCTGGAGGCAGCACGGGTTTCACGGAGTGTGGTCCTTGACGGAGAACTTGGAACTCTGGAGCTGCGACACTGCGCCTTCTTGTTTCCGCCCCTGAAGATACTTGGCACTTGGGCCCTCAAGCGTGCCGCACGCCGCTAGGCCGCCTGAAGGCTGCGAAGAGGTTTTTAAGAAGTTTTTCAAAGCCTGGAGGCCAGAACGACACCTTTGCCCCGAGGTCTTCTCGGACCTGGACATGTGCCAGTTTGGCGTCGTGGTGTCCAGTCAGCTGGCAGTTCTGACCCAGCTGCTCGCCAGTGGTCGATGTTGGACGAGGTGTTAGCTGTCAGCAGCGCAGTACTACAGCAGCTTGCACCTCTTGCACCTCTTGCTGTGACACATGATGGAACACCTGTCGCGTGAACGTGGAGCGTACAAATACCAGTGAGCTGCGACAGCATGTGAGGAATGCAAGTGTGGTGGCGCTTCGAGCGCTTCTGGCTTCCCGGTTCCGTCAGCAAGAACATGCGATCTTTGCCTCAGCTGACTTGAACAACAATGACTTCATTTCGGCGCAGGCACTCGGCAGCACTAGACTGCCGCTGAGAGATGGAATAGAGATAGAGCAGTTTCAGCGGGGTGTGAGGCGTACACTGCCGGGCTGAGCGAGGTTGTGCTTCTTTGGATATGTTCCTGAAGCCCTGTGAGGAACCCACAACCTTCCGTGTGTACATAATTATGGGGAGGTACGCAGCTTAATAGTCGTTCGACCTCCAGACAGCATGTCTTGCACATCACATACATAAGTACGTGTGTACCTCCATATATATATATATATACACATGTATATGTATGCACATTGTACTTGAAGGAATTTCAGGGAATGATGGCACCATGACGGGCACCATTACACTGTACGAGTGTTGTATTGAATTTTAGAAAGATCTCATATTTTTGGATAATCCTCTATCCTGTTTCAGTTTTCTTCTGCAATGTTGTACTTGGTGATGCAATTTACTACCTTTGCGCATGCCACATCGTGCGGCCACAGGTGTGCTGTGGCATCGACAAGTGTCACAGGCCCTCTACGCTAATCAACACGCGGTCGCAAGAGACGGTCTGAGGAGTTTGCGACCTTCTTGCTGGACTTGTTCATCGGAGCGACAGAGGCATCGACCCTGCCCATGCCTTAAAGATCAGTGGCTGTGGCTAAGAAGAAAGAAGTCGTTGGAACGATTGGTCAAGGTTCGAGACCCTGGACACGGATTCGTCGGGGGCGTTGTCACGAGCAGAGATGCATGTGGTGTCTGGCAACGACTTGAAGCTCTTCGATTTCCGCAGGCATAAACATGGGGGCTGAGCGGTCGCCTTTGCGTCGTGATAGTAACATCCATGGCGGGGTGCGGAGTTGCGGCCAGAAAGGCGCACGGTGGTAGTCCGCAGAATCAGGAAGAACTGCGAATCGCTCTGCAAGGCTTATCTCCTGGACCTTCGACAATCCAGATGCTTGAGACGGATTCAGTGAGGGGCGCGTGGGGATGGTGATTTGGAGATGTTAGAAGTTGGCCTACACTACACGGTTTTTCCTGCTTGCGACTGATGATCGGATGGCCGAGGAGAACACCTTCCAAGTCGCTGACTTCGATGGCAACGGCCTCGTCTCTGAGCTGGCGCGGCGTTTCCGAAGTGCCTGCGACAGTCCCGCGCGCGCGCGCGCGCGCTCCCCAGGTCCTCTGTCTCCTGTGTCTGTCCTGCGAGGAGCTCCAACGCCTCAGCTGCCGCAGCCTGGCTCTGCGCGGCAACGTCACAGCTGCAACGGTGGCTCGGGCAGAGATGATGGAGCCGGTTCTTTGGGGTTCACTGTTGCGCAGTGCCTGGCATCATATGCACCCGGCTTATCAGGTCTTCCGAGCAGTGGATGACGCCTTGGTTGGTGAGGTGCGGTCCTCATCATTGGTGTCATCCGAGTTCTCACACATGCTGCCAGGTGTCGGTTGAAGATTTTGGCTTGGCGGTTGGCTCCGTGGAGGCAAGCCCTGCCTAAGGGCCTAACAGAAACAAGTGTGGCCGAACTCGCGGCGAAAAGGGATATCGCCCCACAATTTCAACTCGCACTCAGCTGTTGAGCCTCTGGAGGTCATGGGGCTTCGGACCCTTGTCCAATCCGTCTTCACCGCCGGCGTGGAGGTGCCAGTACGGCTTGACTTGGGACTTGGGGTGCGTAGGCAGCAGTTAGCGGTGCTTCGGGGCGATGCTCCTCCTGGCCGATGAGCTTCTCTGACCGAGACTTTACGAACCGAACGTGCCAGGCCTTCCTGTCCTTCGATGCCAACGGGGACCGCTTACTACAACGCTCGGAATTCGAGGTCTTGTCCGAAGGAGTTGGAACATTGAGGGCCGAAGAGTTTCGGTGATTGCTTTGAGCGCACAACAAGCTCGAGGGGGCAGAGGCAGAGCTCGGATCTCTCTTGCTCGGAGTGGGCTCGGCCTACGACATGCAAGTCCTGCGCTGTATTTGTGAGAGGTCATGGCCACAGCATTGGCTATCAGCGGCGAAAATGTAGAGCCTTGGCAGGTCCAGTCAGGAAAAATTCTGTAAGAAGACAGTGTGGGAATTATTTCGGCAGCCTTCCTTCTCATGTGCGTGTGTCGGCCGCGTAAGTTGCAGCATTGTCTGACCATGATGCATGATCTGCCGGGTCGTAGGGTCGTAGAGGACTTTCATGTGCTTTGATGCGAGGACGGCTTGTTTGATTCCTTGGCCAGCCGCCGCTCGTTTGCATCGTGCGATAAGGATGCTTGAAAGCTTGAGTGGCTGGTCTTGAGCAACAGATTGCAGAGAGAGAGAGAGAGAGACTCTCACGCCTCCCCGGGCAACCCTCGGTCGTAGCCCTGGCGAAAGAAAGACTCTCACGCCTCCCCAAAGCCCCATAACACATGGAGGGCCGTAGCGGCCGGGGGGCTTAACAAGCTCCTTAAGCCCTGTCGAAGAAGAAGAGACTGTCTGCACTATGCAATCACATTCTTGTTGCGTTAGAAACCTCCAACACCCCTAACAAATCCCTAACATATGGACTTGCCTCGAGGGGTGGTGACAGGACCCTGAAGTCCTCGAGAAAGAAAGAGGCAGAGACAGCGAGAGCGAAAGGCAATGCAGATGTGGTTCATTTGGACATCTTCCTCTTGGCAGCGAACGGCCTCGCTGAGTTCCGCAGCCTTTTGAGGGACAGCTGCCTGGCTGTCTGATCTCCTTTTCGCCTGCACTCGGCCTGATCGCAAATTACATGCAGTATCCATGAGAAGATGTCCCACAAACGGCTTCAAAGGATGTCGGCAGCTTCCTGTTTGGGGTCCATGACCTACCCTCCCTGCCCCCGGGGTTCTCCTGGCGAATAGCTGCGCCCGCAAAATTGATTCGATGATTTCCGAGTGTTGTTGCTCGGCCGGAGCCACATAAAGCCGGCATTTCTTTGGTTTAGCCCCAGGCTTTAAAATCCAGGGTTTAGGGTGCTCGCACTGATAACCCGGCAACACCTCAGGAGGCCGGGCTGCAAAAGGGTTCGGTGACTGGTTTCCAGAGAGAGAGATAGAGAGAGAGAGGGAGACTTGAAGAGAGCAAGGGTCCCCAGGGACCAAACACCCCTAGCAAGCAAGCAAGCAAGCAAGCAAGACTTCGAGAGAGAGACTTTAAGACTTTAAGATCTGGAGGTTTCAGAGATGTTCGGGAAGCACTGCTGGACTTTGACACCTCGCCGCCCTGGAGCGAAGTGTCTTATGAGGAGCCACCGGGATGACCAAAAGACGGCGCAGAGGCACAGCTGTTTTCACCTTGACTGACTTCTACACATATGCACAGCCCCTAGATCACAAGCTTCGATTTTGTGCTTGGGACTCCTGCAGGAGTTCTATGTCTGGTGCGAAGCCCGACTCCAACTGCCCACCTCCCTCATCCCCGAGATCTTCACCGACCTGGACTGACTGCGACACTGCCACGTCCCTCGTAACGTCGTAGGTAGCATCGCAGTCTCGTGGGGCTCCGGAAAAGCCAGAGGAGCAGACATCCTTCGCTTGGTTTCTTGCCTTGGACCGTTGTTCCACCCTGTCAGGACACCAGGAAAGAAGGCTTTCTTCGACCCTCACACTTTGAGATGCCGCTTAGATGCAGATGATCCAGGCTCCGCAGAGCTCACACCCCGTGCTCTGAGGCTGCTGGCGGCCGAGGTTGGTGCTCGAAGCTTTGGCGTCTCTCATGCATATTTCTAATAGATTCTAGACACCACGGGACCACGGGTAGGGAATTTTACAAAGCTTCGCCGAGGTCAACTCTTGGGCTCCGCATTGGGCGACCTGGCTGCCGCCTTTGACGAAGCTGATGGCGAGGGTGATGGCCCCTCGGCAGCCCCTCTAAGCCCCAGGGATTTAAAGGGGGTTGGGTCGATGATCACTTGTGACGAGTAGGGACTACATCCTCTTGACGCGATTAGCCTTCGATCCCGTCCACAAAAATACAGACTGAGACAGCTCGCAAGCTTGCGAGGAAATGGACTGGTGACGCTAGAGGAGTTGACCCGCCTGGCATCACCTCTGGGAGTGAGATCTGCAAATGTGGCCAAGCTCTTTACGGCTCCTCAGCTGGAGCCTTGTGCCTCCCCACGATCGCCGTCACGCAAGCCGCAAGCGGCCGCAAGCTTATCCAGTTGGCCTCAGCCGAGGAATTGGACGTCGATCGCGTCGGGTCCCTGACGATCCTTGGTTTTGGCTTCCTCGAAGTTCAGCAATCGCGTGGCGAGACGCAGAGCCCCGTTGCCGAGGAAGGCGCAGTTCGAGGTGATGTCACTGCCCAACCGTATCTTCCGCCTCAGCAACGGCGAGTCTGAGCCGGACGGGATCCAACAAATCATGCGCGAGTGTTTGCTTGGCTTGTACTGAGTGAGCAGCTCATATTTTGCAGCTCTCGTTTGCTGTATGGTGTGGCATCTGTTCACCGCGGGCTTTCTTGCTGTCGCCAGTTTACGTTGCTCTGGAGGACCGCATCCACGTCTACGAGATGCGGCTTTTCCGCGACGACGACTGCCTGTCGGAGCTGCCCTGCGACCTGCCGGTCGCCAGCTACCCGGCTAGAGGTCGACGCCTGGGGTTCCTCGAGGAGAAGCATTTCTGAAGGCATGGTACAAGTTCTCGAGTTTTCGGAAGTCCACGGAAAGTCGCAACTCAGGCGGCCATTTCCTCCTCCTCCAGGAGGGCGCTGTGGTGAACCCCAACGAGACTGCCATGGCGCGGGGCTTTGCTTCCACGTCTGTCCTGGACCGAGTCGGGCCGAGTATAGTACCGAGGTCTACAACGACGTCAGCGCAGGCCGTGCCTTCGACAGGAACTTCTCCTCGAGGTGGATCTCGCAATGTGGCCCCTGCAGGCCTGTTGCAGAGACTCCATTTCGATTCATCTCGCCTTGTCCAATGCATGCAACTTCCATGTCCACCTTGCCGCATCGCTTGTGGCGACATGTCTTAGCCCACGATGTCTGACGACTCAGCGCCTCTCCATTCGTGGGTGTTGTTGGCCCGCCTCCACGATATTCTGCGATCTCCATCGCCACAGGGCCGAGGAAGCTTGGATCGGTTGCAAGTTCGACCTCCAGATTGAGGCCTTCCATGCACGGACTGCCCTGAATCCCAAGCCTCGAGCAGATGAGAGACAGTGTGGGGCTGGTGTTTGCATTGCTGAAGTCTGCTGGAGCGTGGTTGTCTGAAGCGAAGTCCATGCCGCGATTTACGGTCTCGACGGCACAGCAGCAGATAGCAACGTACTAGGTTGATGGACTGCAAATAGGGTCTACTGAAGTTTCCAGCAATTGCCACACTCGTAAGTGCACTGCTTGTCTGTGTTCGTGACCTTTGATCCTTGACGGACAACCGCTCCCGCCGGTTGAATTCGCATTTTGGGAGACATGGCCGAGTCTGGAGATGCTACTCGGCTGGAAGTCTGACCCACAACAGGGACTGCATGCCCCCGAACCTTTGTTGCCTTGCTGTGTGCGGACCGAGTCCAGGTTCCCATGACAGACGCCACGCCGGCGGCAGCCCCGACTGCACCAGCGGCGACAGGTGGCGGCCTGGAAAGCGCAGACATTTGGGGTGAGGAGCGCCGCGGGGTGCTACGGATTGGTTGTGGTCTCCGCCAATGAGTCAACGAGGGAGGGCTTCACTGAACTCTTGAAGGGAGGCTGTACGCCTGGAAGAGACCTCAGGACGACATCGTTACCGCTGACCTGAAAAGGTCCAGCGTTGATGAGCCTGGCCGCACAAATATCGGTCCGGCTGCAGCATGAACTATCTTGATTCAGTATCTTCACTTCTTAAATGCCCGTCCGGCCCAGGAAATCAATCAGCGGATTCGACTTCTAGACAATGACATCCGTGTCATGAAGAGTGCCTCGGCCTGTGAGGACATGGTGCCTTGGGGGGAGAATCCTTAAGGTTTAGAGTTGGCTCGTGGGTTCTTGGCCCCGAGAACCTGCAGGTGAGCAGCAGCGTCTCACGCACGAAATGAAGACCATCGAAGAGAAGACGAAGGACAACAAGGACTCCGACGGGCTGGTGGGGTCACATCTGCAAGCATCCAGAGCTGGGTTTCTGCTCGGATTGAACCGGAAAGATTGAAACTGCGCCTGAAGGAGAAGATCAAGCTGAACCGCCAGTTGCCTCATCTGGTTGCAAACGTGGCCGAGATCCTGGAGTTGGAGAAAGAAGAAGACGACGAGGCGCCGGATCCAACAGACCGGAGGGGTCCGGCCTGCAACTTGGGCATTTCCTCATATTTCAGGATGGTGCCATGCAAGACATCGACACCCAGCGGGACGGCAAAAGCATGGTCATCAAAACGACCACCAGGCTTGAGAGAGAGTTTTCTTTCTCTTCTACTCTCTTTGCTAGAAGTGCAAGTTTGCTTGAAAGCCCACTAGTCCAGCCTTTTGAGGGGAAGAGCCCGCGCACGTCGCAAGGCAGACCATCTTCCTGCCTGTGATCGGTTTGGTGGAGGCGTCAGAACTTAAACCGACGCTGGGATTCGCTGTCCTTTTCATTCTTTGGTTGTATACCTTGTCTTGCGCACATCCCTGGCACATGATATCATCTCCACGCGAGGAATGACTTGGTGGGTGTGAACAAGGACTCCTACCTGGTCTTGGACAAGCTGCCGCCAGAGTACGACTCCCGCGTCAAAGCGATGGAGGCCTCGCCCGAGAAAAACTGATTCGGGAATAGTACCAGGGCTCTCAAATGCTGGTTGCAGTGGGGCACAGCAGCAGTGAGGGCTTTCCTGTCTCGGTTCTTTGGAACTCGATTATGGTCGCTTCATACACTGCTGTGGGAGGTTGATGAGCGCCCCACTGATCAGTACAGCGACATTGGCGGTCTGGAGAAGCAGATTCAAGAGTTGCTTGGTGAGCGTTTTTTTCGCAAAACGGAAGATCCGGAAGACAGACATTTTTGTCACGCGCTCTTGGCCTCGAAGCCCTCCGCGACCTTGATTCCACTGAGGTTGCAGGAGGCAATCGTCTTGCCCATGACGCACAAGGACCCTTCATACAGACTCTTCAACTAGCTTCTTCCACGCGTCCGGGTCCATTGCCAACTCGAGTGCAATGCTTCTGCCATGGCTTCTCGTGTCTGTACTCATCACTGTACCAGGAGCGCTTCGAGAACATCGGCATCCAGCCCCCGAAGGGAGTGTTGATGCATGGGCCGCCGGGTACTGGCAAGACCATGATGGCCCGAGCTTGCGCAGCTGCCACGAACGCCACTTTCCTGAAGCTGGCAGGCACGTCGTCTGGCTTTTCTTGCTATCTCTCACTGCTGGTGTCTGTGATCTCTGCGAGACCTTGAGCAGGACCCCAGCTGGTGCAAATGTTCATCGGCGATGGTGCGAAGATCGTCCGTGATGCCTTCGTCCTTGCAAAAGAGATGCTCGTACTGTAGTTATTTTCTTTTCGTGCTCAGGTAGGGTGAGGTGGTAGCTTCTGAACGAAGAGGTATAGGTTTCTGTAGATCTTCGCCTCCGAGGAAAGCACCTGCTATCATCTTCATCGACGAGTTGGACGCCATCGGCCAAAAGCGCTCCGGCGGAGGGGAGCTTTCTGGGGTCCGCGAGGTTCAGCGAACCATGCTCGAGCTGCTGAACCAGCTGGCCACTTGGACACAACTCACACATTCTGATTTGAGCAGCATCAGAAGTTCTGACTCTTGATAGATCAGCCAGGACGGCTTCACCAACCAGACCACCGTGAAGATCATCGCAGCCACGAACCGTCCAGATACGCTGGACCGCATGCTGCAGCCACATCTTCCTAAGAAAGCACACCAAGAAATGCAATGTGCTGCGCATGCGATGCGCATGCGTGGCCTGCGCGCTGCCTGCGCGTTCGTCGCGTTCTCATTCGCGTGCCGCGCAGAGGATCCCGCGCTGCTCCGCTCTGGACGCCTGGACCGAAAGATCGAGCTCCCGCACCCCAATGAGGATGCCTTGTGTACGCCATGTGTAGCCGTGAGAGGTGCTGCCGTGTGACTTCTTTGCATTCACTTTCGCTTTGCCGATCGTGCGGTGGAAGGATTCCCGTGCGCGCATCATGCAGATCCATTCCCGGAAGATGAACTACAAGCCACTTGCACTGCACCTGTCGCGACGTAAGGTGCTGCCATTGAGCAGGCCAACTCTTCACCAAGTCCCCATGCTCTGGCCAAGACAGCGGTTCCTTGTACTGAGGAAAGACGATGTGAACTTCGTGGAGCTTGCCCGCTCCACTGACGACTTCAACGGAGCCCAGCTCAAGGTGTGGCGGAGTTGCATGTCTGTTTGTGCTGCTTCATTCAGACAAGCTAGACCCTCGGCAGGCAGTGTGCGTCGAGGCAGGCATGGAGGCCTGTGTGGTCGGATCTTGTGAGAGAAGATTTGTACACATCCTTTGGTTGGGTAGTTTGAGAGCTTGTTGCGTGGAGAGACATGGGCAGACTCAGGGTGCAACCGCCAGCGGCCGATACTCGTAGGGTTTAAGAGGGAGACGCAGGAGGAGCAGGAAGCAAGCAGGCAGAGAGAGAGATTGTGATTGCCGGTCGTTAGCCTTGACCGTTCAGCGGAAGTTGCAACGACCTTCACAGAATTCACTGCATCCTCCGCCAGGCACTCCGCCGCGGCGCCACGGAGCTGTGTCATGAGGAGAGCGCTTGCGGTGCCTGTCCCTGGCAACGTCGTGTTTCTTTTTTCCAGGACTACGTAGCTGGGATCGGTGCTGTCCAAGCGAAGAAGAAGAGCAACTTCAACTACTATGCCTGAGCTGATTGCAGCCTTTGCATGAGACGACTTAGCTCCAGGAAGGGCAGGCTGCAGAAGACATTTTGCCAAAAGAGATAGTTTGGCTTAATTCCACGTGGTGCACCGTTTTTGGTCTGATTCAGCCTGACGCGCGCAATGCGTGAAAATTCGAGTAGTGGCTCTCGCGGTGGCAACCTTCTAGGAAAGTAGGTGAGGCTGGGTGTCGCCGAGTACTGCCAGCCGCGTCTTCTCCATTGACACAGATGCCTTCTCATACTGGAATGGCGAAGGCAGAGAAACGTGTTCGCTTGCTGCTGCATGGGCCAAGTCTGCCCAAACGCCAGGGACGAAGCATGTCGAAGCTTGCAGCCAGACATGGGAAGCTTACTGCCGCAGAGATGTACAGGTGCGCTGCATGCAGCTCTACCAGACGCCACCAGCATCAGTTTCGCGGCGACTGCAGGCGAAGGCAGGCGAATGATGGTGGTTTGGCATTCGTTGGTCCAGACAATATTAGAGTTCTGTCCGGGCGAGCCAACTGCCGTTTACCCGCTGTTCCAAGACTTTTGTGTTGCACGTGACGTGAGTTTCAGAGGCCTCGCGCACACTGATCCGTGCTACTAGCGTAGAGCTTGGAGGGTCACAGCCGTCGGCAGGTGGCATCGACACTGCGCATGCAGCGGCTCGGCGAGAGAGAGAGCGAGCGCGCCGTGATGCGTGCAGCGGCATTTAGCGCAAGTTTCGGTGTTTCATAGCGGCATCGAGCCAACGGCTGAGACAGTGGTCGCCAGACTACGCACAACCATGGCACTCTGTCGCATTTGCAGCCAATCTGTTGCGAGACGCCAGCAGCATTGTAGATTCTCTCGTGGCTTGCACGTGGTCCCCAGGATATGGGATGGCAAGACATGGCAGAAGCTTGCAGACATCCCCAAGCCGCCCCTGCCCCTCGAAGCAGGATGAATGTTCGGGCATGCGTCCTCCGCTTCTGCACGGCGGGCTAGGTTCAAACTCGCATGGTCCTTGTGACCCATATCAGGTGGGAGATTGATAACTTCGGCCGGCCGTTCGTTTTCAAGCCCCCTCTGGAAGCCATGGGCCTCGTGACCACCACCAGGCCAGGCCTTGTTGCTCGCTCTGCCGCAGACTGCGCTTTTTGAAGGAGTGTTTGTTTCAGGTCCCCAGAGCAGCAGCAGGAGGCCGAGGAGGCCTTCAGGGCCTTGTCGCACCAACACCGGGCCGAATTTCCCAGCTCTTGCTGTGGCTTGTGCAATCCAGAGCGGGGAGTGCTTGGATGACCGGGCGTGGATAGCATGGGCCCCAAAACCTGAAGGCCCGAGTCAACAGCCTAGTCCGGTCCCGAGTATTGCTATTGACCTTCATCTACTCTCGCCGGTGAAGGTTGTGGGTGATGCTGTACGATGGAGAGTCCTTCGCGCGTAACGTATTTGATGGGGTCTTGTGGCTTTGTGCTTGGTGTATGGGGATATTCTTGTCTCGCGGACAGAGTCCGAGTGTGAGCACCGATTCAAACTTCGTTTGGCGCAGTCCGCGTTGCAAGAGCGTACTGTACGCCTTTGGACAACTTTCCCCATCCACCTGTTGTCAGCCCTGTGACAGGACTTTGTGAACCGGTTCGGAATCAGCCTTCCGGCCCTGGTATCCATCTGTCTGGGCGTTGGCATCTGTGGTTTGCTTTGCCTCTGTGTGCTCTGCGCCTTGGCGGAACAGTGCTCCGCGGCAGTAGCTACAAGGCTTCGGCCTTGTTCTGTTGCAACTTGCCCTTTTCCTGGATCTTCCCAACCCATGCTCCGCATGTCAAGACGCCCGGACGCCGAGGTCCGATCCTGGCCAGTCCTCGGACGATGAACATCTTCCGCATGAATGCGCCCGAGCGCAGCGTGACGGCAGTCGGTCATCCTGTGCTTGAGCAGCCCTCTCAGCTTGTGCTGGCATCGCTGTGCGGTTCGAGGCATGGATGCGAAGAAGATGAAGCAGTTGGACAGCATCTTGAAGATGAAACGGGAGGTGGGCTACCCTTGCTCCAAGGAGTGTATGATCAGTTGCCATCCTAGCTTGGGCGCCCTCACCTTGCCATTCTGTCATGGCTGTGTTCAAAGCTCCTCCCCAAGCGTCGGCGAGTCTTGCAAGATGCACTTGCGACTTAGGTGAAGAACTTGGAAAGCCAAGTCCAGGAGGGGGCACAGAGTGGAGCCCGAATCCTTGAATGCGAGCTCCCAAGCCAAGTCCTCGCATCGAGGAGCACGCGACCGCGACAGACGATTGGGGCATGTCACACAAGGTGCAAAGCGAAGAGCAGAGCCTGGCCACGGATTGGTCTTGCAATGGCCATGTCTTTCTTTGGGGGAGCTTTCCATCACATGCACCTGAGGAGAATGCTCGAGCGACAGCTGGATCGCAAGCGAAAGCAGCAAGCCAAGATGGAAAGAGCTTCCGAATCAGGCCGGCGACACCCCCTTGACATTCTGCTGTTGGAGGGTAAGTTGCTCAGACGGCTCCGTCTTCGAGAAGATCAGGTGAGCAAAAGGAAGTCAAGAAAGAAGAGCAAGTGCAAAGGCAAGTCTCTGTGCAGTCGCGTGGCCACTGCTGCAGGATGCGAAGAGTAGCACAATTGCTTGATTTTGCATCAGGAAAAGAGCCGACGACGAGCGATACCGTCGCATGAAGGAAGCGCGGTTCTTGGCTCTTGACGTGCAAGTCGTATGGCTCTGCTTTTTGTAGCTCAGACCATTCCTTGAGGCCTACCAGCCCAAGACCATCGCCGTGGACGGCGTGGCGCTGCGAGCCCCGGAGTCGGTGTCACGGCTGGAAGGAAGCGGAATCCACGCGCTTTGAAATGATCAAAGAGATGCACAGACTTCAAAGATTCTGGAAGGAGCAGTAAGCGATGGCAGATTCTGTGCATTTTCGGTCAGGTGCTCCTCGAGCTGGGTTTCGAGCCGGAGGCACTGGAGGCTTTCTCCATGCCAGGCTTTTCCAGCTGCCAGGCTGCAGAATCAAAAGTTCTGCTAAGAGCTTTGGTGCAGTGGCAGCCGGGAATCGTCAGCAGGGAGTTGCTTCGCAGCTTGTTGAGGCATGGACGCTGACGGAAACCTCGTGGCAGCACCCGAAGATGAGGAGGAGGAGGAGGAGGCTGTGGAAAATGAGGCTGGCAGTGAAAGAGAACATGTGTTTAGGGGAGAAGAGGGGCACCACTTGTGCAACACATGTTATGACGTAATTGGAGTTGATGACATGAGGCGACCTGTGCAGTGGTCAAGGGAAGCCGGTACTGACCATACCGCTAGTTCATTCCGCTAGCAGGACGAGGCTGGTCCTCCGCCGCCTCCGGATGATGAGGTCCGGAAGAAAGCTGCCGGCTTCTTTCTGAGAATGTCTGATAATACAGTCTGAGGGAAGGCCCTGAGTTGCACCAATCCCAGTGTAAGAATAGCGTGCCACGCAAAGGCTTGCATTCTTGCCGTGGGCACATATAAGCGTGAGAAAAGCATGGACTGCATGATCTACTCTCCTATCGGGACACTCGATATTTCCAACTTTTGCGCGTGCCAACATGCACCACCGGTTTGATTCGTCAACGGTGGGAAGGCGTCAGAAGAAGCTTTTGACCTGGCTGCCCTCCAGGAGCTCCTCTTGTCGTAGACTATGCTGCGCAGTCAACCTGCCGCAAGCCCTCCCGTTTCCCAGGAAGCGGCTCGGAACGCCAAGTTTGACGATGCGGCGTTGCGGATGCCTCCCGAGCAGACATGGCAGCAGTTGAGAGGTCTCTGTTCAAACGCAGTCAAACGTTCACACCTTTCCCGCATCATTCGGGTAGTCACCGATACGCCGAGACATACGTGAAACAAGTTCAGCAATTATGTCACGGAATGTCACAGACGTGCATGCTTTGCATGCATGTGGACATGATGCCGTATACGGATATGCTTACCAGGCTGACCATATGCTTACCGATCGTGCAAACGAATCTTGCGCTAGTGGTTGGAATTCAGCAAAGAAGGAGCTTGGGATTTGCGGAGTTTGGGGCTCGGTCTCGCGGGCTTTCCGCTTCGGGTGGAATTACATTTTTAGGGGGGCGTTTTGGCAACAGTTCCGGCATGCTCTGGGGCTTCGGGCGTGGCTTTCGGCTCACTCTTTTGCTTGGTCTTGGCCGTAGCATGTCTCATCAGGGACACCTGCGAATAGCACGCACCGCCGGCACTTCACATCCTGTCAAAGACTCTTGAGATCATGTCTTAACTGAGTGAAGCTAGGCCGAGACACCGCGCACTAGCCTCTATCTCTAGTCAGGCGCCCGCGAAAGATGTCTTGGTACCAAGTAGCCGATTTGCGCTTCGAGGCTGGACGAGGCTCCAAACATTGCCAGGGAGGGCGCCGGCCTGAAGCGCCGAGGGGCCATGGCAGGTCCCAAGGAGATGCGAGACGATGCCGATATGATCATTGGGTCTGCCCTTTCACTCCCTGGAGTAGTATGAGTAGTTCCCAGCGTTTTTTTTTAAAATACTTCTCTGTGTTAACGCCATATACTCGCAGGAGGGCCAGCCCATGGATGCAGAGCTGCTAAAGCGCGCTCAGCGAAAGGCTGCTGGCCTCAAGGCCCGCGAGCCTGCGTGCTGTCCACTGACCTGCGTGGATCGACGACTCTTCAGTGACCTGCTTGCCTGCGTGGGGCTTTCGGACTCCCGGTGGTATGATCATTCCTTTGTCGTGTGGTTTGTCCTCGTGTGATCATCTGGTGAGACGTGAGCATGCTCTGCTCGAGAGGTTGGCGCCGAAATACACGAAGAAAACGAGGCCGAAGTCAATCGAAAGCTGCAGTTCCATCACATGCTTAACTTCCGATGGTGTCCTTTACGGCGCAGCGTCCCGGAGCCATGGGAAATCTCTGCCGTGGAAACAGGTGGACAAGTGGATCGGACCCGGCTCAGAGCCCAGCTCATCAAGGCCCGCAGCTTGTCGCTTCCGCTTGTCCCAGAAGCTCCAGCACAATCACCTTTTGAGTTGCGGCAGTGATGCAGGCCAGACACTTCCCGCAGCCAAGCGAGCAACGCGCAGCTGCTCGACTGGGATGCACTGGACGTGGACAAGGAGGCGCTGAAAAAGGAGAAGCTTCCAGTCTGCAAGTTTAGCCCCCTCCTGGACCACCGGGCGGATCGGAGCGGGCGGGCTTTCGAAACGCTTGCAGCATCACAAGTAGCATCAAGTTATAGGCATGTAAAGCGCAACGATGCGTTCGCTTCTCGCTTTTGCAAAGCCCAGGAAAAGGGAACAGGCCAAGTCCACCTTGGCGAAGCAGCGGCTCCGAGCCATCACGGAAGGCCACTGCACCATGCAAGGATCTCGGCGAGCGCATAGCAGCGCCTCAAACGTCAGAGTCAGCCAGGTGACAAGAAGGACGCCGCAGCTGCGGAGTCCGACGACTCGACGGACGAGGCCGGCGTGGAGCTGTGGGGGTGAGAAAGGAAAGCTTGCTCAATTAATCAAGTCACGTGTTGAGCGAGGGTTTCCTGGGCTGTCATCCCCAGTTGCAGACTTCCCGAATCTCTTTCACAGCGCCTGCGTTGAAGGACATCGAGGTGAAGCTGGGGCGAGCTGCTGCACCCATGGCAGTGCCTTGATCAGACATGAGCACTTAGTCGCAGGCGGGCAGCTTGCCCTCTGCAGGAGTACGGTTGCGACGCTTGAACCTTGTTCTTTGGCGCATGTCTTGGGCTCCATTTGTAGTTCATCGGCACGACCACCTTTGACCAAAGCTTTCTTGTACCAGAGGACATACTGCTCCATTGCTCCAGCTGTTGACCCTGTTTGTTCGTGGGGGGGAGTACGCAGCATTGGTACGACTGTTTGCCAAGGAGGGTGCCCTCATGAGCGTCTTCATCAAGAAGGAGCCGACCAAGGCCCGGCAGTCCCTTTCTTTTGAGATGAGATGCAAGGGGCTGCCATCTAGCATCGCAAATGGAACTGGTGCTCTTCGCGGTTGCGTGGCGGTTTTACAGAAGGACATCAGAAAAGCTGTAAAGTTACGGGAGGCATGTGGTTTGCCACTCTTCTGGTGTCGAGCTAGGAGAGAGTCAGAAGCAGAGAGTCAGACAGGCGGACAAGATCTGTCGAACGTCTCGTTGGGGGGCCGGTCGCCCTCTCCGAAACGAGTTCTTAAGCTTCAAACTTCAACCGAGTGAGCCCCAAGCGAACCCTGGCACAGGCCACACAGGCCCGTGAGGTGCAGGAGCCCGCGGCAGAGCCCGAGGAGCTGGCGCTGCCCGTCCCCGTCGCCGAGGCCCGGCGAGATGTTGCAAATTCCGTCCAAGCGGGACGAGAGAAAAATCAACTGTACGCTCACCTGGAAAGGTCCAGGAAGCTGGGGATGCCCACGAAACGGCCGCTGCCATTCGGCATTCACTCGACACGGTTCTTGCAGAATGTTTCCGGAGGCTTGTTGAAGCTGGACTTGAGATCACATCTTTACAGTCATCAAAACCAACATGAGTTCTGCATGTTCCGTGGTGTCGCTCAACACCAGCCACACTTTCCGACTGACCTTGTCATTGCATCATAAAGTCGGCGTCAACAACGTGCCGCATCTGTCATTAAAGGCAGTGCCTTGGCAGTGTGCTTGCGGGTTGGCCCACAGGTTTACCTTCACGAGAATTGCTGTTTCTGCTGCTTGAGGCGCCACTTTGCAGGACCTCAGGGCTTTTGGGATTTCAGCTGGTTCTTCGATGGCACTCGGTGATCTCCCTACGTTACTGATACTGAGGCTAGCAGCGCGGCGGGATCGCAGACGGCGTATCAGGGAAAGGCAGCCCCCGGTCAAGGGATGGCTGAAGCCTCCTGTGCATTAAGTTTGAGGTTCTGACGTAACGGTGTGGCTTGGCAGCATTCCACGTGCGAGGTGAGGGGGAGGACGTTGGTGTCGCTGCCCTGTCCCTTCCTGTGGTCAGGTGCACGCTGGCATGCCAGTCCGCCCTCGCGGCCTTGGCACGCCCCGACGAGACATGCTTGCTGGGGAGGTTTATCGGAGCTCCCTGGATGCGCCGTGCCGTGGCTTGAACGTCAGGGCTTCGGCCCTGTTGAGTAAACCACAGTAAGTGCTCCGAGGGCCGCTGCAGTCCTTGTACTTCTTCTACCCGCTTGACTTCTCTTTGGGTCGCTTCTTTCATAAGGATGACGCTGACCAAAGATGGCTTGCCATGGGGCCGCTTCCACTCGACGAAGCCGCACTACCGAACTCCGGAGGAGAGCCTCAAACTTGGCTCACTTCTACGAGTCCTGCTTTGCACTTTCCACTTTTCAGGAGAAGGCAGAAGCCGTCAAGTCGCAAAAGCAGAGCCATGGATGCGAGCATGGGGCAATGACAGGGCGGTGGGTAGAATCTCGGTCTTAAGCACTCGAACATCAGGATGGGCTTCTTCCAGCGGATGTTTGGAGGCGGTGGGGACGAAGCCGACGACCTCGAGGATGGGTTGTGGCAGCATCAGGGTTTCTGTACCGTGATGTCTGCCTACTCGAGGTGGTGGAAGAGCCTGGGGCCGGAGCTCCATCGAAGCCTACGAGCCCCTGATACCGAGTGCCTCGCCTCATCGTCTTAACCGGCATTTCCCTGGCCCCTTTCATCTGAGCCCCAATGCCAGGCGGCGCGGGCTCGGCTTAGACAGGCAAGCCGCGATGCGGGCAGGCGGCTCACCGCGACGGACTCGAGAGCGAAACCAGTCTGTGATTGGTCCCATCGCGTTGAGTCGTCTGCCAAGCTTTCAGGGAAAATGCGGCAGACTTGTCGAGTAGTGTAGTGATAGAAGCCTACCTTCGTCGTTCACCTGATATGTCCATGTTTGTGTGAAGCTTTGGGTTTTGTGTTTGAGAAGTCATCCCAACGAGAACACCGTTCAAACCGATGTGTTCCAATATGATGTCCAAAGTAAGGACTTCACCCATGCCGCAGAATCGTCCATCGCTCCACTTGTACATACGAACATCCGACACTGTGGATCCGGTGGCAGATGCGGCACAGGATTAGGTTGTTTGAAAGAGTGCTCGGGTTACTGTACCATTGCCAAGATCCCAAATGCTCCCGGATCCTTTGGAGTTCGCTGGGGGGGCTACAATGGCGGTGCCTGCAAAAAGGAATGCTGCAAGGAAGAACTGCACTGCCTGCGAGCGCACGTGCAATCGAAAACTAGCCGGAGACCTTGTGAGAACACACTTGCCACAACAGACCTCTCCGGTTGTCGGACCCGATGGTGTGGCAATGCACCACTCAGACCCAACGTAGCATTTCCCGAAAGCAGCATGTCCCAAGGCTGGCATCTGGATGCTTATCTTGCTCTAGCAGGATTGAGATACCTAAAGCATCTGAAAGTCTGGCAGACTTGGTAGCCAAGGTCGGCAGACACCTCAACGGGGCTTCGGGAATTGTTGTTCAGTCGCGGGTCTGTCGTGCGACTTATTCCTTCTAGTGCGGACTTCGAGGCCATGCTGGCATGCCGTGCAGAACGCTGGGAGCTCGGTGCCGAAGCACGCGGCCAATTGTCGGGTGTCGCGATGCCCGACAAGCATTGCGCGACCCTACTTGATTTAAATTCCATGCGTGGCGCGATGCAGCGGCAACTTGATTCAAGAAGTGAGTATAGACCACAGACAGAGTAGCCAGGAAATTCGAAGGCATGACTTGCAGCCATTTTGGGCAGGCCCCGAAGCATTATCGCTGAGGGAGTGCGGGGCTATGGGCAGTCATCTCAGTCAGAAGCTTTGCGCTTGTGAGAGTTGGCTAGCTTCTGGAGCTCTGACAATGCAGAGGACAACCTTAGTGAAGAAGTTTTTTCTCCAGTGCGACGGTGCTGGCTTACGCTATCTACTGCTAGGCTGCTAGTCGCTCTTGGCTGTCTTCCCCACGGCATTCGTCTGCGGGATTCGCTAGCTTTGGAAGATCGCCTTGCGTGGGCCTTTCTCGGATCTTCGGTGGAGCGGCGTAGCCTTGGTGGGCCGCAAGCACTGAAAGGACAAGGCCCGACGGCCACTCACTTGCTGCATGCCTTGCACTGGGACCAGTTTCTTCGCCAGCTCTCACAAGATTTTGTAGTTTCCCGGTTGGCAGCCACCAAGCAGGGACGCCGCAGCTTCAAAGCTGTGCTCAAGGATCTTACGCCTAGATAGGCTTGGGGGCCCGGCCCTGCAGGGGCCCAGATGTACGGCATGGATGGTCCGTGCCGCGCGACTTACACGAGGGGCTGCCTGTCCCAGATGTTGCAAGAGACTTTGGACAAAAGTGCGCTCCTGAGTGGGGAAGGCACCGGGAAGTCTCAGCTTCTTCTTTCTTGCCAGTTGAGGCATAAAGCCCGTGCTGATAGTCAAAGCTTCTGCGAAGGCAGGTCAGGGCCCTGGGCCAAGCTTCCGGAGAACTGAAGCTGCTATGTTCCGGGTCTTAGATGTCCATGTTTGCCCGCGAAGGGAGCGATGTTTTGGAGGTTCAGTTCAGCGTGGACTGGTGTCTTTGGCAAGCCATGCAAGCCCCCACCAACCAACAGGGGTTGAGGGCTTGTTGCCGCATCAGTGGTATTCGCTTGTTGCATTCAGATCTTGACAATGCCAGTGTGGAGGGCTTCTCAGTTGTTGCTCAGAGGAGGACTTCCGGTTCGGACTTGGAATCAGGGTTAGTAGGATTGGCAAAGGGTTTGTCTGCTTTCAACTGCGATGCTCTTCGCAGTCGCCGTGCCCGAATTTTCCTCGGGTCACGGCACAAGGGACCCCAAAGGTGAGCGTGACAGACCGCGCGCGAGAAGTGTCAGTCATGTTCTGCCCAATAGCCGTCAGTGAGGAAAGTTCAGTCAGAAGCCCCAAACGGCACCACCAAGTCCCCGAAGCACGGTCTTCATTGATTGACTCACGTCGATCCGCCTGCAGATCGGCAACGACCAGAAGCGTTGGAGTCTAACACTGTGCGATGGAGTGCATCTCGGCGCTGTTCAGTAGGAACTGCAGCGAACTTGGCTTCGTGCTGGTTGCATCGATCCTGCCTGAGGCACGTGGTGAAGTCTGTCGTTGTCAGTGAGATGGCGAGGAGGCTGGAGCAGGATGGAGGAGGCAACGTCATCGGCCTCCTGCGGCTTGACCAAAAGTCTTCTACAGTGAGTCGGTAGTAACGTAGTATTGTCAGATCGGGGTCTCGGCGAGTTCGGGCTCACTGTCTTGCCTGCGCAGACCAGGCTGCGACTGGACAAGTATGGCTTCAAAACCACCGACAACAACTCGCAAATACTGGTGGTGCTGGAGGCCGCCACTTGTGGCCATTCTCGGTACATGTGAGGGTCCGCGGAATTGGCCTTGATCTTGCGCATTTTTTGCTTACGATGGCTACTTAGCTAAGGCAGTACTCGTATGTTGCTGCGCACTGTCCCTGAGCTCAGTTCGCGACGGTGGGCCGCGCAGGGCCGCAAGACTACGTGGACGAACACCAGCTCACCAGACTGACCAGAGAGGAGAAAACTGCAAGCCCCACATTTCGACTGGTTTGCTCTTCTCTGTCAAATTCCTCAGCCTTTTTCGAGCGGTTTGCACTCAAAACAGCCAGAATGGCTGACCAAGAAAGTGCCCCTCCAAACTGCCCGAAAGACCTGACTGCAAGCCAAAGCTGGCGAGGATGTCAGGGCCGAGAATATCCCGTCAACGCAGGCCCAACACAGTCTGTTTGCGGACCAGATCGGTTTTGGTAGATACCACTGCATTTTATCGAGGGTTTCCTCGCACAGCCAAAACAGTGGCGAATTGGCTTTGCAGCTTGGCCCGGCAGCAGAGCATGGATTGCGAAGTAATCGTGTCGGTGCGAAATCTCTCATGGTCGGCGACAGAGGCACATGCAAGAGGAGTGATCATGCGTTGCAGGCCTTGCACGACGAGCACTCTGCAAGATTTGCCAACGGTCAACATCTCAGAGTGCCCACACTTGCTGCGAATACGAAATGTGCTTAAATTGCGACAGCAAGAATCATCACCACTGCCTCGCCAACGCATCGTCCATCGCGTCATCCAGTGCTTGGCTGGGACGTGGTTGACTTCGATGCCACGCTCTTTGCCGCTGTGTAGGTCACGGAGAATCATGTTCTTCACATGTCCGGAGGTGCTCCCCACCAAGACCAGTGAATCATGTTGAGAGAGCAAGCCCAGGTGCCAGTTCAGGCGCATACCTCACGCCAGAGCGCCGGATTACCCCGGTGCCAGAGACGACACCGAACCCACCTATGGCGCTCAGCAGAGATCCAGGCATACTTTGTTGCGGCTGCACGTCTAGAATTTAGGTAGAAGGTCCTGGGCCACTTCTTGTTCAAGAGCTTTGTCGAACCGTCATAGGTTGCAATTTTTCGGTCGGAGGAGCAGACCTGTATCACCGATCTCGACGAAGATTTGAACTTTGCCTGTTTATTCTGGAGGGGGATCCGCTTTGGTTTGCATTCGGTAAACATAACACAAATAGAAGGGAAGACGAATCACCGACCAAAATGGTCACCGAACCATCGTGAGCTTAGCAGCTGTGAACGTAACTCAAACCAACCGAAGGCGTGGCATTACGCAAATGAGCCATCCGGTGTCATAGGGTGATCCAGATCTTCCAACACCCGGTCATTCAGCGCCAGCCAAAAGGCCTGGTTTGACATCATCATGAAAGCGGTTTCTGAAGCAAAGAGCGTCCAGCTTGACGGCATACACCCAAAGCCCGTGCCGGAAAAACGTAGCACAGCTGAACAATCGAGCCTTACAGTCCCAGCCTAACTTGATGTCGTGAGCCGAACCCACGCCACCAAAAATTGGAAAAGCTATACCATGGGAAACCGAGCCAGACCGAACTTAACGCGACTCGAAACACTTGCCACGACAAGTCCGGGATCGTAGATGCGCCAGGCAGAATGGCGACTTTTGGACAGGCGGACGGAGGCAACTGTGGTGTTGCAGACGCCCCTACACAACCAGGCGAGGCTGCCGGGGCCAGGGCTTGAGAGAACTTGGGCGTAGGGGGAAGCCTTTGGCGATGCCTCTCGAGTATCATCCTTTGGAGCGTTCAGGTTATGTGGAGGCACCTGCCGGGCCACCAGCCAATCCCTATGCTATGCCGCCAGGCCAGTGAGTCAAAGGAGCAGCGCTGCCCCTGCCCCTGAAAGTCGTCATAGCCGTGCCATGACGTGTCAGTGCAAATATTGAGTGATGCAAACAGCTGAGAGCTAGATAGATGTGTCCCCAACTCTTCGTGAATCGCTGTCCTGCCAAGATCGCAGCGTCAGGTGGCCCTTATGGTGGCAGCACCAACCCCTATGCGAATCAAAGCACTGCATCTGCCCCTCGCCCGGCTGAGACAGCGCCTTGTCAGAATGCAGACAGCGACCACCATTCCGACATGGAACTGAAAAGGCCGTCGGAATATACAGAGGCTTTGCGACCATCAACTGAGAATCGTGTCTCCAAGCCGAGGGGGCGAAACTCGTCCTGTGGGAAGGAAGATGCGCCAACAATTAAGTGTCGCATCACAACTCCTGGTAACAAGCAACGGAGCAGTGCACGGCTTCCAGAATCCGTTGATGTGCTTACATGGAAGTATGCAATGTTTGATATCTATGCAATGATGCTCGGATGGCTAGGGGGGGATGTGCAATATGCTGCTTTAAGAGTCTGTCCTGTACAATGTGGAAGCCCCCAAGTACCACCGACTTGTTGGCACTTCGAGGCTCGAAACCTCAGCACCAGCCTCGCTCCGGTGTCTTCGGTGGGTGCTGTCACGCCGGTCAGTGCCGCGGCCTGCATGGAAGCACGAACGGGCTTCTTTCAAGAAGCTCGGAATAACCACGCGACTGGCTGATGCCCAATCGGGTTTTACCGGACCTCTTGACCTTCTGACTGGGCTTCGAACACTTGTAGCGGCTAGATGATGTACATAATGAGTGCTGCCAGCTTATAATAATGGCACAGTAGCGTCAGTATTTACCGTCACAGCATCAGCACCCAGAACAGTTAGCAGGGCTCGCCACAACGAGAACCGCAATCAGCAATTAGCATAGCATAATGAAGCATGGCATCATGGCATGTCTCCAGTTCGTAGTGTATCCTTCTCTTACTCCCGTCCCGGGTGAAGTGAATCAGCATCATCAGCCTACTAGGTAGGCATGTGGAGGCGCACAGGCGTGGAGCTTAGAGTACTGATGCTGGCAAAAGAGCAAAGCAGAAGCAATACCTGCAGCAAGACTAGGAGTAGGAGTTGAAATGGTCACAAGCTGGTGGTTCTCTGTAATTGAGCGGCAGCTCGGAATCAAAGCTGCAAGGTGCTCTGAATGCCTACACCGGTGGCCGATGGAAGATCAAGGACCCGTGGACTCAACATGACTAGACAGGGCGCGATGATGGCGGTGGTGTTTACGGCTTGAAGAAACTTCATGGTAACCTCCAGCGTCAGCAGTGCGCTGTTTGACCCGGCGCCAGGCGCGGGTTCTCACCAAAGGTGACGTGCGGAAATTCAACAATCAGCGTGGAGAGGGCCAGCTTTTCAAGGCGCGGCAGTCTCATATCCTATTGATAGTGGCCATTCTTTCTCTGGCTGTTTTGAGTGGGCCCAGCCTGCATATGCGTGGGTAGACCGGAGTAAACGGGGGCCTCCCAATGGGCGCTGAGTGCACCAGCTGCTCAGGGCCTGACGTGGTCCAAAGCAGTGGTACATCGGGGCTTCACAGCAACACTATGCATGCACATGCACGCGAAAGCCAACAACACAAAGCAACGCTTGCATTACCAGGTGGACCTCGGAGACAAGACCGGCGAGATCTCGGCAACGTTTTTTGGCCGTGCCGTTGACAAGTACTACTCACTGCTGAAACCTGAGAAGGCTTCCCAGCCTGTTTCAAGTGCTTTGGGTTTTCTTTCGAGGTGAAACCTGCGTGTCGCACTCGACCGCTGTTTCCGAAGATAGGTGTATACTTTCCAGAAGGGCCAGATCAAGCCGGCAAACAAGCGCGACTCAGCTGAAGACTAGGTATTGCGATGTGTTGTGCCATGTGCTCAGACTGCGCAGACGAGGCTACGACCGGGGCGACCACGTCCTGGTTTTCGAAGAGCCCCTTGGACCTGAGACTACGAAGATGCCAGAGGTGTACAGTTTGACGGCTCCAGCTCCGAACCTTCGCCGCGCTGAGGCACGCCCTCATCGAGTTAGCGGGCGAGGACGACGACATCCCGAAGATCAGCTCCAAGTCTTTACATGCGGGGCTTCGGTGGGCTGAAATGGTGTAGGACTTCTGCCCAGCATGTCACAGCGCAGTCACAATGCCGCAGGCTATGACTTCCGGGACCTCGCCAGCGTGGAAACCCTGCAGCCCGAAACGCACATCGACGTCAAAGCAGTGGCTCGCAGCAACCATGAGCCTAAATCAGAGTCGAGTAAGCGGCACCTGACACAGTCCAGCGATTTTCCATCGGTCTCCAAGGTGATCTTCCACGTGCAGGAGCCCTTTACCTTCACGGCCAAGACATCGAACAAAGAGATGACGAAGCGGGTGTCTCGTCAGGTCAAACAGATCCTGCTGATTCTTTCCCATGTCTACTTGCAAAGACCTGCTTAAAGAACTGACCGACTCGAAGGTTCTCCACCTCTGGGACACCTCGGGCGACCCTGCGTCTGGCAGCACCTGCGAGCTTACGTGGCTTGGTATCTGGCATTCATACTTGACTACCTCCTTGTGCTTCTTCTCCCGCTCTGGCACTCGTATTGAGGGGGCTTGTCAGGCTTTGGGGCGACACGGCTCTCAGCTCGGAGTTCGAAATGCACCAGGAGCCGCAGGGTTGGGGAGGGGGGCGGGGCCTTCGCTTGTAAGTCTACAGGCTTGGGAGTGGCTTTCTATCCTAACTCCGCGACCGGTGACTGAGAGTTCCATGCCTGTGACAGGTGATCTTTCTGAAGAAGGCTCGAGTCACGGAGTTCAACGGCCAGAAGAGTCTCAGCAGCCCTGCTGGCATGCAGCACAGCCGCTCGGATCTAGGCCTATAGGTACTTGGCACATGGAGCAGCAGAGCGCCTCTTCTCAGAAATTGAGAGCTTTTGCAAGACTTTTGCGCTGAGGTCCGGACCACCCACAAGCCTTTGCTTTGATTCGCAGCTACCAGCAGCTGCAGCAGGCGAACCCTCAGGCCTTCCAGTTCCTCGGCTTTCCGAGCCTTCAGCGGACCGTCTCGCTTGTTAAGCTCTTCAAGGGCACGTGGAGCCCGTGCCGTAAGTCTGCTTCTGCGGTCTCAACGCCCATCTGCATCTGAAGTCGTGCAACCTGTCAATAGACAACAGGTGCTAGAAGGTCTCGCCTTATTTCGGAGGTGTGCACATACGCAGAGCAAGTTTGTGGCGAGGATGTCAGGTACGCATGTCCTGCGTAAGCCGGCCTTTGTAGAGAGAGTCGCCGTGTGTGTTGCGAGCCCTTCGGCCCAAGGGCGCGGACCAATTGGGGAAGCTCGGCAGGAAGACGCCAAACCATCGAAGAACTGCGCCAGGCGGGTTTTGTGCAGTTCCCGATGTGCCTTTTGACGCTGGAGGGTTTCTTGTGGTAACCTGAAAAGCCCTGAACAGGAGGACATTGGTCTGGGTGCTCCGCCGACGCCATTTCAGCAGCCGGCTGGACCAGGTGAACCAAAGAGTGGCTTGGCACATCTTTCATGTCGCCCTTTCGGCTCCACTGGGATGGTGTTCCTGCTTCTATGCCAAGTATGCTTTGTTCCCTGTCCCATGCATTCGAAGGCATCCACAGGCACTGGGTCGTAGCTACGATGACGAACTTGCCGATGGACCGGCCTCCTTACTACACGGCATGCCCTCACATGACGGAAGCCTCACAGCCTCCGACTTCCGCGGGCCAGCCCAGCACGAGGCTGGCGGTAGAACGCAGCATTCTGACCATGAGAGAGAGCAGTACGATTGGTTCCGAGTGAAAGCGATGAAAGAATGGCTCTTGGACAGGACGTGCAACAAGAAGGTCACGCAGGATGGAGATGGCATGTGGATGTGCGCTTCTGGCCATAAATCACAGCAGCCAGATTTCAGGCGCCTAAGCTGCAGTGTTACGCGCGGTGCCACCTGCCATGCGACTGAGCGAAGCTCGGCCAGAGGTATCTCTGCCGACTGACCGTTCTGGATCACACGGACAAGTGCGAGGAGGGAGGGGCTGCGCTTTGGGATTCCATGAGCGCGTGGTGTTTCAAGCCTTGCAAGGTTAACCTCTATGATGAAGCCGTCAACAAGCTGCTGAAGTGTCCTGCCAAGGACAACAGACAGCATGAAGCCCGATGTACACTTTTGTAGCGGGATTGTGGAGTGTGATGGAGGACTATGCGCAGGTCTATGATGGAGGCATGAACAGCGGCCAGCTTGCAGATCAACTGCGGCAGCTCAATGGTCGAATGGAGTGGAGGATCAGAGCGGTTCAGCGGTCAGCAAGATGATCATTGAGATCATCTGCAGTTGCATGAGCTGAGTGAGCAGAGAAGCCCTGAGCAGGAAGTGTTTGCTCCGACTCCGTGCCCAGAAGGAGATCTGGCAAGAGAACGAGCGCGTCAGGCCGAGCCACACCGGACCTTCCTTAAAAAGATGCCCCCCCCGCCCCCCTGTTCTCAGAGGTACTCCGTGGACGAGGTTCAGCCTGTGGCTCTTGTGTCAGACGCGAAACAGATGCTGGCCGACATTCATGAGTCCCTGGCTGCCATGCCGCAAGCCGGCTACTGAATGCGTGCATTGCGGGTAAACTGCATTTAGGGATGCTTCGTGCTCGGCGTTGTAATTAGTTGGCATGATAACATATCCAGATCATGAATGCCGTAAGCTTGGTGCTCTCGCACCTAGCCGCTAGCTTTCCGAAAGATCACGCAAGACACGCCGAAGTAGAAGCATCCCGTGGCACGCTGCCCCGGCGGTTTCTTCAACGGCCCATCGGAAGCTCTCCATTTCTGCGGCAGGCTTCCTTAGTGTGTCGGCCAGGTAATCCAGGTACAGCCATTCAGGCCGCAGCACCCGAAACGCAGAGATCATACACTGATGACAGGCGACAAGCCAAAAAGTCGCAACAAAAACAACTGCCACACATGGTCGCACGACGACACATTCTGGTATGCTGGCCTTGCAGCAGGGGTGATGCTGCAAAGTGCCAAGTTTTCTGTCCAGTGCAGCTGCACTGGTTCCCTGTAGGGTCGGGACCTGCGAGTTTCAAGACGCAACCATTCGCAAGGATGCCATGGCCTCAATCATGCTTCAACACAAGAGGAATCCCAGAAAAAGCAATTGGCAGGTCCCGGTTGTTCTTTGCAGATGCAACGCCTTCTTGGGAAGTGCCCATCCAGGCTTTGCAGGGGACACGATGACGATGTGCGGCCAGCCACGTCGATCCAGTCGTGCATGGACCAGCACTGTCGTCGTGTAATTACGGAAAATGTTGAAAGCTGCCGGCCTCTGCTGGCTGCCTTAGCAGAAGTCCCGTCTTGCTGCGTTGAATCAAGACCTGAAACGAAGCTCGGGACTTCTGTCTTCAGTGCCAGCAGGGCTCTCGCGTGAAGCGCGTGAGGATGCGGCGCGTTGTCAAAACAGAAGCAGCAACGCCTGCAGTGGATTGGGTCACAGAGTGTGCCATGCGATGCTACGACATGACAGAACGACCATATCGTCAATATCCCACGGAACTAATTAAGGGGCTTCATCCTTGCTAAGTAGGAGGGACAAAATCAGTTCATTGGCTCTGTTTGATGTCGTTGGCTTGAATGTCAGGGCCCAAACATGGTGCTGTCAGACATTACCAACACAGAGACATCCTCGCTCGGCAGGCGCAGCAATTCGATTTCTTGTTCTCCAGCGTACATCACGATGTGAATGAGAGTTTCTGCGGTGAATGCTGGACCCCCCATTCCTTCTTAGCTCCTCTGAAATTGACTGTCTTTGTCTCGCGTCAATATGGCAATTCACCGTGAGCTGTTTGCCAGGAAGCTTGGGGATGTTAAAGCTGCCAGGGAGCCTCCGGTGCCAGCCTGAGTCGTCTGTGTTTCCAATCGAAGGGGACGGGCATTCAGTGAAGCATGAAGACATGTTGCAAAATGAGCAACCAGCACTGAGCGAGGCTGTCCAATGGGTTGCTGTGTTTCGCATTAGTCATGACCAGTGACCAGGCTCGTCACACAGATGCAGCTCGTGCTGGTGACGGTCATGCTGATTGCGATGCTTGTTGTTCTGTGATGCTCGTTTATGATGGTGGCAAAGATGATGATGAGAAAGGGTATGACTGCCGAGATGCTTCGCGGAGAGATGGTGATGCTACTTGGCTGGCGATACGGAAGCCAGGGCCAACCGATATGATGATGCCATGTCGAAGGACTCAATGCATTGAGGCTAGATAATCAGCCGGGGGCCAAAGTGAATCATGCATTGCCCATCGCCAGCAAAAAGCACGGCCAGACAGCAGAGGTCAGCCTTGTGGCGAACCTCCACTCCAGGGCTTTAGAACAGGAGTGCCGCAGCTGCAAATCGGATCACGCTGCAATGAAGTCTCCTGCCGCTCCGAGAGGAAGAACATAGAAGTATTGTTGACACTTCATCGACATGTAGCATGCAAGCATGAGCGCTTGCGCAGCAATCGAGCTTGCCGTAGTTCCGAGGAACATGCTCCTGCGGCAGGAAGTGGAGCAGCTCCGAGCACAGAATGCGGTGGGGCTGTGGAGTTTTGAATTGCCGTGCGCAAAGGGGCAGTTCGGAAGGAGACTCAGGGCTTTGGACGGCTGCTTGGCCAGGCGCTGGTATCTAGCACGGAGCCACGCACACCTCGTCTGCAACTGAGAGCCCCGGGACGCTGACTGCAAACATGCGGCGGCAGAGATCGACGTATGCACGTGACGTCGCAGCCGAGGACGGACGCCGACAACACCGGGAACACCCCGAGCGGCCAAGAGTCCACGAACGCCTCAGACACCCAAGGCGTGGAACCAAGCTAAGCCAGCCTGCGATTCCAAGCTGTCCCTGACTGAGCTTTATTGTCGAGATTTCTTGAGGTCTTAATCCACGCTCAGGGCATCAGATGCGGCACACGCCCAGATGCAACAGAAGCGGAATGCAGCACGACTGTCGCAGGCGGCAGCCCGCACACCGGCCCGCTCGGCGCCAAGCACGCCTCGAACGCCGCGATCACGCCAGGCAGGGTGGCGGTATGTGGAGATAGGCGTGACGTTATAGCAGCCTATAGCACATCACACCTGATATTATGCGTCGAATGATGGTCAGGCTGAGATCGCAATATGTCTACCAACATTAAATATGTATGTTCTCTATGTTACATGATCTCATGCAAAGTGATGTAAAATTCAGTTTCCCAGAGGTCAAGGCACAGAGTCAAATCTTTCGGGACGTGAAACAAGGTGCCATGCTGTATTGCCCATGTAAAGAGCAAGCATGGCATAAATCATCATAAATCACAGAGCACACGGTCGCTCCTTGCTTCACGCCATGATGAAGTACGTCTCGCGTTCACACCATTTCAACCTTGACACTGGTCTTGACTTCTTACATACGTTTCTTACCACAGGCAGTCCACTGCCCATGACGCTCAACAGCAATAGTTTCGTCTCGCAAGCCGTGCAGGCTTTGCTGTATGATGCATGCCAACATGGTCAGTGTTCTCGTCGTTCATGCTGATGTTTGATGGCGAGAACATTAGCACAGACAATGTTATTCTCGTCGCTTGGGGATATTCAAACCCCGGTCTGCAGGTTGGGGTTGAGGTAACCAAACCCAACCCTGGCCCTCCGCGGGAGAAGTTGAACTTGAACCTCAACACACAAGAAGTGAAAAGCCACGCTTAAAAAACTGCATTGAATCACACATGAAACGTCTTCTCCGACAAGAAGACAAACTCTCCACTTTCTTCAGCCGCGATTTTTTCAAACACAAACTCTCCACCCACAAGAAGCCAATGTTGAATCGCACGTCTTCTTCGACAGACCTCTTCAGCTGTGCCACAGGCACAAGGAGAAAGCCCCACAACAACGCTTCAGGGGCTGAAAAAGCGAAGCAAATGTGGTTAATCACACATCGAACCTCGATTCCGGCCTGCAAGGTCTGTGGGGCAGCTGCATGCGGATGTGGCTGAATGATAATAACACGTTTTGTGATGTTTCGAAAACGAGATGTCAAAAGTGTGCCATTTCTGAAGCACTCTCAAGGTCGCTGCTTACATGTCTGTATGTTTACACAAAAGATGACGGCAATGTGGCCTTCGTGCCTGGGTGTGCCTCTGAGGCAATCAGGGCCGCGACTGCGGACTCTGAAGAACAGCAGACAGACAACAGAGAGTGTGTCTCTGTGAGTCCTCACATACATACATACATACATACATACTTACTTACTTACTTACTTACTTGCTTGCTTGCTTGCTTGCTTGCTTGCTTGCTTGCTTGCTTACTTACTTACTTATTTACTTACATACATACATACATACATACATACATACATGCATGCACACATGCATAGATGCACAGATGCATACATACATGCATGCAAACATACATGCACGCATACATGCACACATGTATATGTGTGTGTATACATACACTTACATACATACCTACAGCACGCATGTATTGACGCACTCTTCGTCGCTCTTCTGAAGTCGTTCTTACAGGAGCTGTCCAGGAAGGCCCGTCTGCTGGTCTTGGTACATAAGTGAATGATACGTGCGCCGCTGCTCAAGAGGACGTTGAAGCCCTGAAGTGTGAACCAACAAACCGGAGTGCCGAGGAAGCGCAGTCAGAGGCCGTCACCCCACGGCGAGCACCCACACGACGACGCTTGGCTGCAACTGGATCTGGCCGTTGCCAAGACATGCTTCCCTAAGCCTAGCCTTCACATCTTAGCATGCCGCCCTCTTGCTGCGAGCAGTGTTGTTGGTGTCGAAGTGGAGTGCGGAGAAACGGTCGGTAGAGGGGGTTGAGTTCTTCGGTACAATGATGTCAACAGAGGCAGAGTAGTATGTTCGAGGCAGTTCAGAGTCCAGCGTGATTGCATTGATTCCTTTGATTGAAGCTTGTCTCCGACTGAACGGGCTTGGCCCATCTTAGCAGCCGAACTCATGTGTCAAGAAGAAGCAACTGCCCAAGCTTGCTTAGCGGTGTTGGCTCAGGGCCGTTCGAGCCGAAAGTGCAGCAGCCTCTGTGCGGCCCTCGTTCAGTTCATCACGGATCATCTGGGTTTTCGGGGCTGGAAGGGCAATTCTTCTGTTCCTTGATGCTTCAGGGCCGCTTTTCCGAAACGCTTTCCGAGTTTGAGCCGAAGAGTTGCTTGGGCATGGTCATGGGGAACCGCATGCTTGATGGCAAAAAATGCTTCTCCACCTTGGCTCGACAGGTTTTTGTTTGGATTCACAGGGCCAGGGGCAACAGACTCTGCTCGGTTGCATCGTGATGGCGGTGGCCATTGCAATCCTCGCGATGCTCGCAGAAGTCATGGCCGAGGTCTGCGCTTTGTCGGTTCGAATTTACGAGTGAACAAATCTACAGGTTGTGAGTTGTGGGCCCTTGTCCAGTCAAGCTGGTTCGACTGGTAGAGTCGCGTCCGGAGGCAACGAGCTCCACAGCATCCTTGCGTGGTGCAAGTGCTGTGCGAGAGCAGCCTGGTGAAAGATTGGCTTTATCGGTTTGCGTGTCGGAGTCATCCGCAACCTCCGAGTTGTTACACCAGGCAGCCCTCAGCAAAGCATGTGTTGGTGTTAAATGATCTCCACTCAGGCTGCTGCCCGAAAACGAACACACCCCTCGAAGCAGCGCAGTTTAGCACAGCCCATGCTCGAACCAGGCTGCAGCAGACACCCGCTGACCAAGAGCCTTGGATGCCGTGAGCATGGCTATTACTTTCGTTTCGGTCGCGCTCGTCTGTCTCTGTGTGTGTGTGTGCCTCTGTGTGTCTGCGTGGGTCGGTGTGTTCGTCTCTGTATCTCTCTCTCTCTCTCTCTATCTCTCCCTCTCTCTTTCTGTCTCTCTCTCCGTTGGTTCTTATTGCCTATGCGTGTCTTGGTTTTGTCTTAACTTGGACTGTTTATTGACTTCTTTGGCCACTTTTTTCTGGTTGCCTGCAGTTGTGGTGTGATAGGTTCGTTTGCAGGAAGCTGATAGCGGTTGACTCCTATCTTCAGCAGGTTCCGGTCAGAGACTCGGACGAGGCTGTGGCTCCGCGGTGTCTGCCCGGATACGTCGACGTTACAGGAGGGCAGGCCTTCTTCTGGTCCTGTGCTTTCCATTGCGATGGAGGCCAGTACTATGCCACGGCCGGGTGCATGTGCGCATGCCTAACTCCGGAACAGCGCGACCGCCTGGAATCCCAGGGCGATGCTGGCTTCACACCTGGAGGGACGGGCACGGGCCAATCCTCCGGGATCTTAATCACAGCGCGTTCTACCATAGGCCCACCTCCGGCAGGCGACCCTGTGGTCGAGATTCCCGTCGGCCCTTTGGGGGGAGATGGAAGACCTGGAGTTGCACCCCCTGCAGTTGACAGCTATGTGATGAAACAGGACGATCAGCCGGTTTTCCAAGCTGAGACATCGCCTGAAGAAGAGGGGAACTTGAGCTTGGCAGTCATCGCTCTGATTGGAGGCCTCTTGCTCGTTATTGCAGCAGCTGTGGCACTCATCTGTGCCCTCTGGTCCAGCATTGCCCACGGCAAGCCCAGGCGCACCAAGGTGATGGTGCAGCTCCCCAGGTTTAGCCCCCATGTGCCGGTGGAGAAGTGCCCCCAGCCTCCAGCAGAACTGCGTTCAACACCGTCAGCCCCCACACTGGCTCAGGCAGTCAACTTGCATAAGTTGCAGGAGCCTGCGATCCGAGTGTCCTGGAATTCCAGCAATGTTTCTGGCGAATCTCAGGGCCCGTCGCGACCAGCGCAGTGGCAGCATTTGCGGGTTCCTGACGGCGACAGAAAGCTGAAGGGAAGCCCAAGCAGCAAGACCAGCGCGACCAGCACCTGCAGCGGTGGTGCAAGTGGCACAAGCAGTTTGTCCAGTGGCTCCTGGGCCACCAAATCCGAACAGGGTGGCCGCCCACAGCTTGGCTTCTCGGGGAAGACCTCGCGTGTCCATCCCAGTGCCAGGCAGGTATTCATGTGATTCGGCTGTGACCATACGGCCATGTTGTTGTCGATTTTCCTCCGTACTTTCCCATGTATAGCGGCTCTGTTTGATGTGGCCGAAGAACGGAAGTAAACAGACTAAGCACATACAGTGTCAGTTTGAGATCTTGAGTAGCGAGCTTCCTGGCCATGCCTCGTGGAGCCATTCCTGGCACCCTAGCAAGTTTTGTGTCGCCCGCTGAAGTACGAAGACGATTGCAGCTCGTCATTTGGGTGATGTAGCGCCGCTTCTCGACTGGGCTAGGAATTCGCATCCCGAAAACGTTGCAGCTCTTCCAGGCATGCGATCGAAGCCGTTAGAGCTGGGGTCTGCAAAGATTGTAAAGGCCGACCACAGTTCGACCACAGCTTACGGATCAAGTTTCGAATCGTGTTCCTGGTGAACTACAACTTTTCGCTTTGAGGCAGTTGGCGTCTTGCCATATGCCGACTGAGGAGGCAAGAGTGGCCTCGTCAGTTTGGCTGGCCTGTTGCAGAAAGCCCTGCTTCCCGTGAAAGCCCATGATGCCCACGCAACATGCTGCATGCTTCAAGCCGCTTTCTGTGACATGTCCTCGGCATTTGATCGCCCGATTGCCGGCTTCTTGATAGTCATTTAGTCCTTTTTGCATGTTGGCCGGAACTGGGCCTCCTCTATATCTGCGCTATGCGCATTACGCGCGTGCGACCGTTTTGACAGCCCCCGTGCGTTTGGCCTGGCTGATACTCTTCATGAGATCAGATCTCATGGCTCTGCTCTGCAGCTCAAGAAAGTGTTGGGTTTTCTTTTGTCTGCAATTGCCACTAGAAAAACTGGTCCCAAAGAGAAGCCCAACACGATGCACGGCCGGGGAAGGTTTGCTCCAGCGTTGATTCCTCGCGTGACCTTGCAGATGAGTGTCGGTTCAGAAACAGTGGAAAGATATAGGGAAGTGGGTGAGGTATCTGCAACGATCTTCAGGGGGCACGCTGTCGAGCAGACGGCCCTGCCAATGTGTGTCTTGCGCTTGCGGAAAAGGCATACTTGCAACCGCCCAGGATTTGATACCATCACCGTCGCTTAATGATGTCACTAGGGTGCAGGTTCATCATGAGGCCGGTCAGCCTGAGAAGAGTCAACGGAAGACTCAACATACATGATCGGACGGTTTGGCGCTGCTACATCTTTAACCTGTTTACATCTCTGGCATTCTTCTCGCCTTCACAACACGAAGCTGCCAGATGCGAGGTGAAATCATCAGTCCATTGTAACAATCTTCGCATGAGCTTGCCCGGGCCAAGGCCTGCAACGGCATCAGTCAACAACCCCAAGGCCAGCTGTCCAAATAGCCGCAGGCATAATCGAGCAAGCCAGCCCTTGCCACCTGCAGTGCAGGAGGGTCGCTTAAGACACCTTCTTGTTAGTTCTTTTTGCTTGTTCATCGGGCTTGGGGGTGTCGTTTTGGGGGGACCAAGACCAAGGCCGCATCCGGCAGGGAGCTCGGCACAGGGCATGACCGACGAGAGAAAAGCATGGCAAATCTACGGCATCAGTGCAGCTTTGCACACGTGCTTGAACATCTGCTGCCTCTTCCTGACTTCAAGCTGCGCCCACGTCTTAGAAAGCGCGACGTCGATCTTCTGCTTCCGAATGACTGAGTGCAACTGCAGACCCTTTTGTAGCCAGGTAGCCGGCAGATGTCAGCAGCTAGCTGGAACTCGGGACAGTGGACTTGCTTCAAGCCTGATGCAGCAATGCGTCTGTCCTATCATCGACTCGACCGGTCGCCAGTTCGGAATGCACTAACCCTCATGACATCTCATGACCCAATCCTCGGCACTCATGAAGCCAGAGCCCTAATCCACAAACATGCTGCTTTCCACGATGCCGTCTCGGTGGCACTGACCGAATGTGGGTTCTTCGTGGCCGCCATGCAGACGCTGCAAAGACAACTGGCTGCCATACAGTAGATAGAATTTGTGATGAGATCGGAGGCGGATCCCGGAAGTAGCCGGAGTGAACTTTGTAGGACGAAGGGGTGGAGACATGAAGCCAAGGTTGGGGGGTCCTGCGGCCTGCGGCAAAGGCCACTCCGATGCATGTGGCAACGATCTCACCCAGCTGTGTTCTGGGATTTGCGTTGGAGACATGAGACATGGTCCGAGCCACGGAGAACTTGCAACAGTCTCCCAGCGAAACTGCAGGAGAAGATTCCGACCGAGGAGCCCAAGCCGCCCGACAAGAATGATGAGATCGTCATCCCCTTCAGCACCGTTCCCTGGCAGAGTCGGGTTTCTGATCTGTGACACTATGTTCCTGGGCCGAAGGAGTGTAAGACTTGAGCATTGAAGCTGGCATGTCACCCGGCATGGAGTGGCTTTAGCCAGAGCAAGCTCATGCGAAGGAGATCTCGGGGAGACGGTTGCGCCACATCTCCGAGTTTGCGCTGAGGACCTTTGCAGACTTTTTGGCTGCTATTGGGGGGTGATGATGTTGCTACTCCTGCCTAGTTCCCGCCTTAGAGCATTGGGGGGGTCGGTGAGGAGTCTTCCCAGCGAGCTGGTGGATGATGGCTACGTCTTGCGCTTCGGCATTGATTGACTAATAGCTAATAGCGGTCACACATGTTTGCCACATCATTCATAGGATCATCATCGTTGTTTACCGAACGTACACACCTTGGTATGTAATTTCTTGGGTGTAGTTGATCCATGAAGCCGTGTGCTGAAGATTGCGGACACTTACTTGTTCTTCTTCCATTGAACCCATCAATCTCACACCCATCAACCTCTGCCATGCGAGTCCGGAGGCAATCCAAGGATCCGTTCGCCTCGGTGCGTCCAATTTGGGAGAGTTGAAGTCCCTTGTCCCTTCATTTGCTTGGCCTCTAGTGATCCCACGATGTCGCATCTTCTGTTCACGTCAGCCTTGCGCTGCGGCCGAGTGTGAGCGCCGAAACCCAAAAAAAACATCGGAGACACAGACTCCACACTTCGAATGGAGTCCCGAATTCCCGGCGAAAAGGCAGCTGGCCTCTGGCCCGGGACCTCCGCTCCTCGAGAGCCAAGCGCTCCACACCAGGCCGGGGGATGGTTTCCTCGTTATGTTGGTCATGAGAGTCACCAGTGAAATGAGTGAGATTTTGGAGGAACCCCACATGGTCTCCACCTGACGGCCTTCGTGCTGGTGCTGAGCTGCAGGTGGAAAGCGTGTCGTTGCCAGAACAGCAGTTTTGGATGCGCACTGCGACTGGAGTGTGAGGGAGTCTTTCGCCATAGCAGATCAGGGCGCACACGCATCTGGCAAGTGAGGACACTCTTCAAGTCTTCTGGTGTACATAAGGTGTGCGGAAGCATTGCGACGCTCCGTTGTTTAACATGCTTCCGTGCGTTTTCGTGATGAAGGTTTGCTTCTGACGTTGGTGGTCCTCTGGAAGCCTAAGATCCTGCCAAGGGTTACGGAGCGCTGACATGTAGATTACAATGGAACGCAGAATTCGGTCAATATGTGGAGGTGCAGACAGCTGGCGTAAGACACGTGCCGGGATGCCGGTTGCACCGTGGATGTACCGTAGCCACTGTAATGTAGCCTGAAGTACTGCGGAGTCCGAGATAAGACCGAGGGAGAGATCCTGAAATCCTGCATTCAGCCTCACGATGAAGGATCGGATATCCATCATCGCAAGTCACAAGCCCGTGACGTAAAGCACTTGCAGTGAGAAACTTTGCTCGGGTAAGCGACAGCGAACTGCCAGGCCTTCGAGTTGCGAGTTGCCGCAGCAGAGGGCGCGCGCGAGGCACAGCCGCCTGTCCTGGTGACTCTCGATCGCTTGTTGAACGAACAGCGAGGTGCGGTGGAGCGCCGAAGTGGACCTTCGGCAGACCGACGTGGTCGGAGAGGAACTTTCTTGTTTTTGATTTGCGAATCGCCTTCCATCATTTCCATCGTTGCCGTTTCACAGTGATTCGTTCCCGGTGCAACAGGACCTCGAGCACCTGGACCTGGTGGCTGAGCCCGTCTTGGCACTGCGGATGCGGCGACTTGGTTCAAGAATTTCATTCATCCAGGCCACATGGAAAGCGCAGTCTATAAAGCTGGACTTAGGCACATATTTGGAGCATTCCATCCCTGTGGTCAAGTCCAGGAACTGTTATTGGAGCTTCGGTAGCCTGCCACCTCCTTGTATTCTTTCTCCCCCTTCCCCTCCGTGTCCCTAATTTGCAAGGAATACGGCCGCTTTGCCAGAGGTTTGGCTGACGCCGGGCATTGGGTGGCCTTGAAGCACTGCGACTTGCATTTACTCCACGTGCAGATGCCAGGGCACCGACAAAGCAGAGTAAACAAGCCATCATCCATCGAGACTCGTTGCGGCAGTGTAGAGTAGCTTCGCAAAAAGGAGTGGTCCGAATTCTGAGGCGCTGGGCCGGTGAGCGTCGCAGGCTTCCGAGCAGGTGCGCCGCGGGACGTCGTATGGATGTTGACAAAACCGCGCCCTCCGCCTGCAAACGCTGAGGAACGCCACGAGCCGGCAGATTCAAACCTCAGAGGTCTGTCAGTCCGGAGCAAAGGTCTCCGAGCTTTGCGCTCTTGGCTGCATTGTTGCAGATGCCTGGGGGTGTACGTGAGCTCCTATTTTGTGATGCGGTGTGATGCTGAACCGAAGGCGGGCAGCTGCACTTCTGGAACGACCAGACAGCGGAGCTTCAGGAGCTTTCCAATTTCCTCTTGCGACCCTTCGACCCACCTCTGGAACACTTGGGGGAGATGGTGGGCGGCGGGGGTTCATGGTTTCGCGGTCCTTGCCGCGAGGAGCAGCTGCAGGGCCTGCTTGAAAAGCGGCGGGCAGGTGCCGTCGGCCATACTTCTACTTGGGGTGCTTCGCAGACCGACACAGGAGGAAGTTTTGAACTTGAGCAACTTCTCTTGCAGGGGCTTGTTTTTTTCGTGTGCTCGGCTGGGTGCTGGAACCGTTACGGAGGCTATGCGCGGGGCGAGAAGCGTGCGGCACTCCAAAGGCCTGGGTCGTTCAGCTTCTAACCTTGAGAGTGTAAGAGTCTGTAAGAGTGTAGCAGTGGAATCTTTCGTGATCTTTCAAACCATTCTCAGACGTCTGGTCGAGCTTCGGGCGACTGTGGAGCGCAGGAGACAAGGCGGGCTTTTCGTGCCAGTATGCGAACATAGATTCTACTAGCATTGCGTAGGAGTCCATGGGATGGCTTGCAGGTTTTGGTTCAACTTTGCTTTGGCTGGTACCCGCCTTTTGCCGTGATGCTTGCTGCTGGAAGGTTTGGAGCTGCTGAGGGCCGAAGTGGCTGGGGAGGGCGATGATACGGAAGCGAGGCAGGTTTCGGCTACTGCGCATCCGACTAGGATGTGTTGCTGTGCCCGTTTGTGGCCGCGGGACCCTGTCAGACTGCGCTGGTGGCGCCGCTCTGCTGCTTCGCAGGCAAGGGGTCTCATAGCTAGAGTGAGCAGGAATGCGCCGCTGGAAAGCTATTATTAAACGTCAGACAGACATTGAGTGACACGGTATGGGCAGTACCGTGCTCCAAATGCTGGAGGGCGAAACGGGCCGGGAAGACGGCCATCGTACTTCGGCACTATCACTGTTTGCTTCTCGAGCAGCCTCCAGTTGGTATTGAAAGACGCCACCAGACATGAAGTGACACCCCGCAGCTTCTCGTCGTCATGATTCTGTCAGATTCTGCAGCATCCTGTTGTAGCGGCGGGCCCCAACCCTTTTTCCCTGCCTCTTGCACACCGCCGCCAGTGAAGCTTGGGGTGTATGGACATGCGCAAGTGTGACTGGAGGCCACTATCGTCAGTTGTTTCCCGCTAACTCACAGCCGCATCCTGTGGCTTGCTGTTTGTCTGGCTCGGTCTTGAAGCCTCCTGCAACTTTCCCTTGACCGCTCCTCGGCTCGTCAGACCTGGGAGGCTTCCAAAGGGCCTTCCCGAGTGGCGGCTTATCCCACGGCCCTTCTGCTTGGCCGGCCGCTTCTGCGAAGTGCCGAGGTGCTTTCGCGTTAGGTTTAGAGTCTAGAGAGGCCCCAGAGCTCCTTTTAATCTATTCGTCTGAGTTTCAAGTGTCACAACTTTGCATCATGAGCTGTGCATGTGAAGCTTTTCGGCATTTCCAAACCCCCGCATTCAAGGCGCAGGTGCATAGCTCCTTGGAGCACTTTGCAGCGAGCGAAGAGGGCAAGGCCTGAATGCTTTTTTACTAATGCCAGAGAATTTGGCAAGTAAGATGCGATCTTTGAGGCTCAAAGATTTGGGATTAGCTGCTTGTGTCGGCCTGTAGTGGCGAAGTGCCGCGGGAGGCTTCGGAGCACCGCCAGATCGGCCGCCGGCTGCGCTGCCAGCAGATCCGCCTGCTTCACGAAGTCCGCCAGGCGTGAGAAGTTTGCAGGGCCAATGCTGTGATTGATGTCTTACGGACCTCCATGGCTCGAACGCACTGGCGCTGTTGTTCAGGTCTATCCGCTGCACGATTGCCACTCGACGGCCGTCCGAGCCATGCGCACGCAGTCGCCACAGGGCAAGATCCCCCCTTCAAACAAGAAGAGATTCGCGAAATGGATTTTGGCGGGTTGTGAAGGGAAGAAATCATTTGTGCCAGATATGCCCAAGGTGGCAGATACTGGACGATCCGCGGCCTCTCCGTGGCAAGCACCGACCGGCTGAAGCATCAAGATCCCCAGCCAGAGACGGTGCCTGGGATGAATCCGATCATTTGAGAGGAAGCTCGCTGAGCCTGAGGAGTTTGGCCAGGAGGAGAAAGCAGAAGGTATAACTAGGAGATATCCACAACAAATATGAACACCCCGTTTAGAGTCAGAGAAGTCCAAAGTCGCAAAGTGGCCGTTGAGAGCATTTCTTGGTCAAAGGATGACTTGGGGCGTCCCAGGAGCGTGATGTCAACACGGCCCTGGGCTTCCTCGCCCACCTCCTGGTGACGCTCGCCCGGCTGCTCCAGGTGCTTTGAGCCGTTTCACGAGTTGCCACCCGGGTATCTGCAATACCTTTACACATCATGTGATCACGATCGTGATCTGTTGCCAGTTGTCATGAAAAGAATTGAACAGGGTCGGGTTTGACATATCCTTACTGGCAGATAAGAGCGTACGAGACTAGTTGGCACTGCTGAAATCGTCCTCGTTCGCGAGATGAACCAAGGACAGGGCGGGTGCTCTTCGCAACCTTAGCACAACACCCTTAGCGCAACTCGTCCTTAGCAGCACGCAACAGAAAGTAAACCGTTGTAACCCTGCACATAATAGTATTGCATTATATTGCACTGATTGCTCGCAGATGGAGTTGTGGGAAGTTTCGTGATGCTAGGGTGAAGAAATCGAGTGTTTCATAAGATTGCTCCAAGGCCAGGAACGTTGAACTGTGGAAGAGAGCCAGAAGATCACATTTGTTGAATCGGGTCTGTCTTGCATGCTTTGAGTCCGAAGGTTTCAGCTCAGACATGTAGGGCATCCAAGACTTCGTGAGAAACAGGATGGGGTCCATGGTTGCATTCCGAGTCTTAGACTTTTCTTGCAAAGGGTGACAGCACCATGAACAGAGCAATAAAAATCATCCTTCCAGTCATGGTCGCCAGCCTGGGCACCACTCGTCACGAAGCGGTGGCGCTACTCCAGTAGCGAAGACTGACAGAGTGTCGCTCTGCACCGCCCACCTGCCATGGCAGACGATGTCGGCGCTACAAGTACAGGCATTGTCCGCATCCCCACTGAGCAGCTGATCGAGGAGCAGAAGCAGGGACTCTCGGCGGCTTCGAGTTCTCGAAAACGAAGTGGGTTACAACCCGGGGAGTTTCTGTCGTGCTCGCACCGGGTTTTGCATATCGGTCTGAGCAATGATCCGTTTTGTCTTGATCTCATTCGTGCCCCTTTCTGAGGTGCACCCTTCGTGTTGGCAGCGATGTTCTGCACAAACAGTTGCTGCTGCTTTTGGATACCTTTGCTCTTCTTCCTTGGTGCGGCCAATGTCCTGCAAAGCTGCGAGAATTACGAGCCTCAAGCAAGGGCAGGGAGATCTATATGCATCTTTCATTTAGTTCTTTCAGGGCTAGATGCCGGTATTTCCACGGCACCGGGTCTGTCATGGTCTTGCTGCGAACCCTAGGCTTGTGCTTGACAGAGCTCTTTGCTGCAGCATTTCTTGATCATAATCATACCCCGCCCTTCTCGATTGCCGGGAACACTCAGGATCGCTTCACGATGTGGATGAAGACCTATCCACTGGTCCCCATGTGCCCAGCTGCAAGACCCGAGGGTTTCCTGCATTGCCGTGAATTTCGGCTGAAACATCGCATGTGAGTTGTCCGCAAGCCGATGTTATATTGTTCGCAGGCTGTGGCTCAGCACGCAGGGCCGGAGGACTGTTTTCACGTTCTCTGTGAAACAGGTGCTGCGGCATCTTGGTGCAACTCCTGGTCAGCTGCCTGGCCTGCGTCGGGAACAGGACGAAACTCGTACTGTAGGGGATGGCAAAGTTCCAACGCAAACCGAGATGTGCTTCGAGAAAAAAGAGCTTGCAGAGGCAAGCAGTACCTGCGGCGATTGTGCATTGGTATCAGAGACCATGTGGAACCCACGGGCATGCAGGAAATTGTTGTATCTTGGCTACGAACTGCTTGAATGGTGGCAGGAGCGTCTTCAAACTGGGTCTCAGATTGCAAGCCTTCACTGGCTTGGCCTTCGTGGCCGCTCTAGCTTGGGGCTGGTACGAGTGACTCAGCTGCAGCATGCTGCAGCGCAGTGCGCGGTCCATGAAGCAGTGTGGCAGAGAGCTGGTCAAACACGGACATGTGCACTTCGTCGCTCTGAATCGCAAGGTATTCTGCTACATCAGAGGAGGGTTGTGTGGGCTCCGACAAGATTAACCCGCGGACGCTCTCCCTCGTGTTCCTGGTCATGGGCTCTATTGCCGCGCCCTCCGTCATGTGCACAGCAGTCAGCAAAGGCCGCGATGCCGAACTCATCCAAGTCTCGAGTAGCGTACCCGTAGCTGCCAGCACGCAAGCAGTAAGTAGCAAACGTTGTGATTGTGGTAAAAGACCTTTTGCAGGCGCCGTCGGCGACATGTTTGCGAGTCAAACCAGTGTTGTCGCACCTCCCTGTGGGTGTTCTTGCTCGTCAGGGTGGGCTCCCTTTGGAAAGCATTTTTTCCGCTTCTCCCCTTGCAGAGGCTGCGTCGGTGATGTCAACTTGCGCGAGACACCCGAACAGACTGAGGATGCAGTCTGAGCTTGTGGTGTGTTAGCGGAGCTCAACACGGAAAAGACGCAAGTTCTGACAAAGTTGGTTCTTAAGGGGCTTGGCCCTTATGCTGTTCCTTTTTTCTGCCTCTATTTTAAGCTTCCCTTACCCGATGCCGTGAGCCTGAGCTCGGTCGGCCGAAAGTGCGAGGGCAGCTCAGTGGCAGTGGCTTGTTTCTGATGTCTGCGGCTGAAACAGCAGACTCGCAGAATTTCGTTGCAGAGGCCAGCCGCACAGAGTTGTAGCAGGTCCTTTGTTAATTTTTGTTATCTTGAATTCGAGCCTTTTTTTTGCTGGAGGTCCGGATCTCAACAGCCTTTGGGCCCGGCCCCAATTAAGCTGGGCTTCACATCCAGGGAAAACTGTGGCGTGAAACCCAGCACCTTTACACTTTACACCCTTGGCAAAAGGGTTCAGGTTCAGCCTCCCGCCAGTTGGCCTACTGCAAAGAGCAGGAGATGATGTTTCTTCGACTGGCAATGAAGCTGCAGCGGCTAATGCCATGCAAACCATCGTAGCTGTTTCTGGCATTCCAGCCGAATCTAACGGAAAGGATTCGCCGTCCGTAGCGAAAATGACTGAGCTGTGGTCGGAGTGATTGCAGCAGCAGGAGGGCAACCTCTGCGTGGCTGCCAGGTGCCGCTCAGCATCGCCATCCGCCGCCCTGGCTCCTCGCGAAGTGCTGTAGCAGCCTGGCCGGATGTGATTCAAGGGACCACGTAGAGGTTCGTTCATAGTGCCAGAGATTCCAGCCCCCACGGAAGCACGCAACGGAAGGCATCTTTTTCATTCATGCATGGTCATCAACGTAGAACCACGTGCTGGCCGTATCACCACTACAAAATAGACACAGATCTAAATTATGGGGAGTAACATTGTGGATTTGCGCTGCTGTCGAACTTGCATGTTGTGCCGGTTGTCCGCTTGGCGATTTGGGGAAGCACACGTCTCTCGCTCTCTCTACGGAAGTCTGTATGATCTTTATAGTGTTTTCTACGATGAGTGAGCATTCAAAGCTTCACAGGCCGGACCGAGTTATGAGGCTCTTCTTGTGTTTTTCGTGGGTTCGGTGTGGACGGGGTTGGTGCAGAGAATTATGAAGTCTTTCGAGGGATTGTGCCACCGGCTATCTCGGCTGAAGAATACTTCAAAGGATAAGCCTCTGAACTCTCGCAGAACACCTTCCAGCCAACATGAAGGGTTTGCGCTTTGGGATCGTCGCTGCTGGTGCCTTCTTGACTGGCACACACGCTGGCGTGTCTCCTATTGCAAAAGAGTTCGAGGAGTTCGTCACCAAATTTGAGAAGACTTACTCGACGGCCGCCGAGAAGGCGGCCCGCTTCGCCACTTTCGCCAAGAATTTCGCCCGCATCGAGGCACATAACGCCGAGGACAAGTCTTTCAAGTTGGGCATCAACGAGTTTGCCGACATGGAGCCAGAGGAATTTGCTGCCAGTCACTTCGGCTTGAAGGAAGCGAGCCGGCCGTGGTCAGGCTTGCCGTACCTCGGCAGGGATCCGTACAGCGGCTCCGCCTTGCCCTCTGCAGTGGACTGGGTGAGCAAGGGTGCCGTGACTGATCCGAAGAATCAGGGAAAATGTGGCTCATGCTGGTCCTTCTCCACGACGGGGGCTTTGGAAGGTGCGTGGCAAATCGCCACGGGCAAGCTTGTGTCTTTGAGTGAGCAGCAGCTGGTGGACTGTGCAAAGAATGGCAACATGGGATGCAAAGGTGGCTCCATGGATCTGGCCTTTGAGTACTTGGAGAAGTACGATGTCTGTACGGAGGACAGCTATCCGTACAAGGCCAAGCAGGGAACCTGCAAGGAGACGAATTGCACAGTTGCCGTGCCGAAGGGCTCTATTGTCGGCTTCAAGGATGTCACCTCCCAGGATACAAACGCCCTGATGGAAGCAGTGTCCGAGCAGCCCGTGTCTGTTGCCATCGAAGCCGACCAGATGGCTTTCCAGCTCTACACCGGCGGAATCTTGACGAAGAAGTGCGGCAAGAAGTTGGACCACGGCGTGCTGGTGGTGGGCTATGGCACCGAGAATGGCGTGGACTACTGGAAGGCGCGGGGTCGTCTGTAGTTTCGGCATGTGCATAATTAGTACGCCTCGCTTCTTTTGCTTGCTGTCATCCGTGAGGTTAAGAATTCCTGGGGCGCAAACTGGGGAGAGTCTGGCTTTATCCGAATGGAGCGCGGGGTGCCGAAAGACGGTGAGTGCGGCATCAAGGATCAGCCGTCCTACCCCATCGTCAAGGCCAAGGAAACCACCGTTGTGGTTTGAGATTTGTGATCGGGATCGTGGACCGCGACTCGAAGGAGTCGCGGCAACGAGCTGAGCTCTCTACTTTGAACTCCATTTTCAAGCTACTCGTATCTGGAAGGCCGTAGGGCTGCCGCTTGCCTCCGGGCCGAATTTCATTCGCAGCGAGATCCGATAATCATTCGATCGGACATCTACAATTTTACGATATCGGATATGGTGATGAGATATAGCACGGCCAATTGCAGTGCGGTCTTCCAGCATCATGGTAGGACTGAAGTTGCAAAAGGTTGGACGGGCCATGCATCAAACAGAAACTCAGTTCGGCCGACCTTGTTGATGCCAGGCTGTTGAGGCACTAGTCGGGACGTGACCGCTTGGGCCACATCTGACATGTCGATTCATTAGCTCCTGAGGCTGCATGGTACAATCCTTCATGCAGCGGTCTCCCACCCTACAGCGGGACCTGTGCATAAACAAGATCGTTCGAAGCGAAAGCAAAGAAGGAGCTAGCGGCTAGTCAGGATCCGCCGCTTAGAGTGATGAGGGGATCAGGGTAAACTCGATGCTGAGTCATGGCAAAACAATCTCAGGCATTATCAGTCATGAAATCTCGACTCAGGTGGACCTGAACGAGTTGCCCGAGGTTCTCTCACCATCACGGGGTGCCTTCGGCCTTGGCCGGGGAGGCAAGAAGTTCGGGCTCCAGGGCTAGATACCAGAAGGTCAAACGCCCGTCACACACCAAGTAGCTCTGTTCTGAGAATGGCGACGGAATGTACCTCCAGTGAGGGTCCTTGGATATCGGCATCTCTCCTCTTGTGCACGTACTGAGATTACTACCCCTACTACCCCTCTTGTACTGATGGAAGTCAACTCGTGGTCATCATGATGATACAGGAGACGAGTCCCTGGAAGGTAACTAAGGTAAGGATTGAGAGTCCGAAGACGAGGAAACCTTTGCGCTTTGTGCTTGAACTTGGGTCTGCGACCTTCGAATTCTATGTCTAGTTCTGCGCGAGCATTGCTGGCCTGCAGCTTTGGCATCGTAGGAATATTCAAACCGGAAACACCCAAGCTGATTCTCGTCTCGAGCTGGTGGCCTGAAAACGATTGCAGGATAGTAAAGAAAAGCTGACGACTCAAATTGCACGAGGCGACCGTCCAAACTGGTCTTTCAACGTCCTCATCTGTTGTCTGTTCGCGCGTTCAGTTGCATTGTGGTTTGCAACTGGTATTGCGACCAGTCGCAGTTGCAGCTTATTCAGACTGCCGGTCGCGGTCTTCGCAGCCCAGGCATGCTAGGAGCAGTTGATGCACTTGTATGCGCTTCGAGTCTTGTTGATCTTCTGGCAGCATCGGCCGCAACGGACGCCGACACATCCATCCCCCGATTGCTTGACACAGTCAGTGTGCGTTGGCACTGCTTATGCCCGAGGAACAGGTAAACAGTGATGCATACAAGGCAGGTTGTCGAACTAACACAGTCAGGCATGGTTTGGTGCAAACGGCCACTAGACATTCGCAATGTCGTTCTTCTTCCCTGTTCTTTGCAGTACTTTGTGTTGTTGGAAACCGAATCTCAAAGGGAACTTATATCCTGAGAGGCAAAAGGCCTGCCTCGGGCGAGTGGCCTCTTCACTACGGCCGTTCGAACGACAAGCAGCTTGGAGCCTGATATGAATCTCATGAAGCTCATGGCTCGTTGTCCTCAGTGCTGACGTGCCCATATCTGAGGGTGCATTTCGAGACAGCGCTGCGGTTGCTCTCCGACGGCTTGAACCAGCCCGCAGCTGAGACTGGCAGTGCGCGGATTCTCAAGATATCCGTCAAGACGAGCTCTTTGTCCTCTATGCACAGCTTCCTGCACAGTCCAACGACCATTTTCCCGGCGCCAGGTTCCTCTACAGCCGGGGCTCGTCCCTGCCAGAGGGCGGCAACCTCGTGAAGTGCGCTGACGCCATTCTACGGCACGAGATCTACGGCGGCGAAGGGTCTGCTTAGATGGTCATGAAACTTATGCAATGAACGCAGAGCAAACGACATGATGGCAGTCGTCTGCCCCGAAACCAACAGACACGTAGCATTATAGCGTATTTTAGGGGTGTGATGATCTTTGTGTAGAACGGCCAGATCTACGGACGCCAGAGCCGGTTGTCCATATCGCCTGCGTTTCACCCCGATCGATTCTTGAGAGGATGTGAAGTCCTGTGCCCGAGCTTTGGCCGTGAGCAGAAGCAGTATTGGCGAGCAGAAGTGCCAGTGTGGTGCCGTGATGCTGGGCCAAAACGACATCAAAAGCACCGAACTCAAGGCAAAAGCTGCTTGCAAGCCGCACTGCAAGTACCAAGGTACTCGTGCAGCTTGGGCAAATGCGCTCTGGGAGCGGGTTGGGGGTGAGGGCTTGGCGAGCCGATACCATTCGCTTGTCTCGGTCAGTTGGCCGGCTGCAAACCCATCCCATCTAGCTGTCTTGTCTCACGTTTTCTCGATGCTGCATCTGATGAGGAGCAGCAGCGCCGAGCAGAAGCGGCTCACGAGGCTGACGGAGATACACCACGATAACATACGGTAACCAGGTGTGTTTTGAGCAGAAGCGGAGAAGTTTCTTCTCTCCTGAGGCCATGGCCGAGCTCAGGAGGGCCTTGGCTGGCCGAAGGCAGCGCCGTGAGCAGGCCGGCCCCAAAACCGCACGGGGCGGGTTTCAACTAATCTCCGAGTCTTCGGGTATAAGGTTGAGGCCACCAAGTCCTGCGGACCCGGAGTTGCCGATGCGAAAGGACCCGCATTCGCTTTGCCCTGGCCACTAGGTTCTCTTCCGATCCGCAGGCCTCTCACAGGCAGGGTCGCACTTTCTTGCGCAATGGTGATGGTGCTGCACAGTCTGGAGGATGAAGCCAACAAGATTCACTGAAGCATGCCTTCCACCAAAGCTTCTGCTGTAGTGATTTCCGGCAAATGCTACTTCGCTGTGCTGACAGGAGCTGAAGGAAGCCACTGCAGGCTTGCCTGCCACGTGCCATGCTACATCACTCAATGGAAATCATGGCATTGGGCGGCTCAGACTTCAAATGCCGAAAGCCATCTGGCTCAGAGCGTTGTTTGCGCACAAAGTGTGTTTCCACAGTTGAAGCCGACGCAACTCCGGAAGCGAGTGACGGTTGTCGCTTCGCCTTGGGCAACTCCGTGGAAACCTTGTCCACTTGCCCATAGCTCCATGCACTATGCAGATCGGCCGCTCGGTTTTTGCACTTATCCAAGCTCGGCTTGAATTCGAGAACTTCCTGTGAGCACGGTGCACTCTTCCCTCGGAGCGAGTTCAAACAGGATGTCCGCCAGGGACAGTAAGCTCTTTGTCCGTGCTGCAGCGATTCTTTCCCTTGAGTTTCGCGGCTTATATAACCAGGACCAGTCCGAGGACAGAGTCTGAAAGATGCGACCGAGGTGATCGTCGGGTGATCATGGTGCCGTTGGTGCCGTTGGCCCTGCTGGTCCACAACTTCGTCGGGGCTGCGCCCTTAACCAACTCTGACTGGAAACGGATTCAAGCTCAAGCTTCCGAACACGCATTCAAGGCCTCTGCATCAACAATCGTCTGCAGAGCAGAGGTTGCGCCACTCGGATGAGCCTTAGGGGTTGGGAGTGGAGTGGATGTCTTGAAGAAGGCTTGATGTGCGGAACGTGCAAAAGACTTGTCCGGCCTGTGCAGGAACACGTGCAGCAGAAGTAGGGTGCCCCCAATCGGAAGCTGCAGGTCCGGGGGCGCGATCGAGATGGCGATCCTGCCGGGGAAGTTGGCACCAGAGCCGCCCTGCCGTTCTTTACTCTGTGGCACAGCAGGCGAAGGCAACCTTTGGGATGTATCCGAGTCGTCACGCTCATAGTCTGTTCCGAATCCAAGGTTGGACAACGGCTCTCTCGTGTTGAACAGAGTGGACACCTGTCAACAGAGGCTGCTCTGAAGACCTGGGGGTTCAGAGGTGCACTGAGTGCACAAGCTGTTGAGCAGCGACTCGTGCCTCAGGAGATGGCTCGAAGCTGTTCTCACCGAAGAGTGCAGCTAGCACGTGTTTTGTCAACGGAGGTCGGACGAGTGCCAGGAAAGATCGGACTCCGGAGCACCTGCAAAGCGAATCGCTGTCTACACATATGCTGCCGGGCACAAAGCTTGTGAGACGTAGAACCCTGACGATCAATCGGCGAAGTTGAGCCATCTTCCCGAAGCCATCCAAGGTTACGGGAGCATATGAAGACATCCGGGATTTCAACGTGCCTCGAGCCCAGCATCTCAGGGCAGACACTGAGTCTTTGGGGATGCCTGGAGCACGGGGGGATGCAACCAGCCGCTTGATAGTTGAAGTGGAGTGGTTTCGAGCAAGCACGAACCAAGGCCATGCGTGCCAAGTGGGGTGGATGCTTTCTTCATTCTGGATGATGCGACAAGGTGGACCCCTGCATTTCAAGGTCACTGCGGTCTTGCGAAAATAGTGCATTGCACAGGCTGTGCATAGGCATAGTCACAGAATGGCTCAACTCTTCTTCTCCCTAAACGTGAGCTAAGCTGGTCATTGAGCGGGCTGTAGCAGCTCCACTTCAGAGTCCTGTAGTAGAGCATGCAAGCGAAGTAGGGTTTTCCGCAGCTCCACGACTGTCTTCACGTCCAATACCCAAGATGATGTTGACGATGGTAGCCACGCTGATGATGGCACTGGCCATGGTGGCTCTGGTTACGGAAGACCACACTGTTTTACAGAGAGAGCAGGGCGAAGTGAAACCACATCATCGGTTTGAGTCATGCAACTTCTTTTTGTCCGGATTCACCGCTTGGGGTTCAAGAGAGAGGATTGAACAGGACATCGGCCAGCAGTGAGAAGCTGGACCTTTGGCGAAAGCATGGTTGGCTTCTTGGCCACACAGACACCGTGATGTGTTGCTGCTTTTATTCTCCCAACGTTTGCCGGGCTGTTTCAGTCTTGGGCCAGTTTTGAAATTGAGGTGGATCCTCACCATGCTGCCCACAATGGAAGGCACCAGCGAGGTTCCTAAGGCTGCTTTGCTGCAGTTTAAGCGCTAGCCGTGCGTGCTGACGCCTCAGTTTGATCATCAGCATCCTCTAGGTTCTCGTCTAGTAACACCTCGCCTGAGCCCCCGAGAAGAAGTGTCAAAACATCGAGCATACAGAGGTGATTCTGCGCATCTGTGTGGACAAGGCTGCATGTAAAACCAAGTGAGGCCCGCTTTGCTGCAAAATCTTTGAAGTTCACGCCGCCCTCGTGGCTGTTAAACGGCACATGGGAGCCTTGGTGTACAAGAGCTGCAGTGGGTTCTGGCGGTTCTGGTGCCAGCGTTTTGCAAGTCTAGCAAGGGTCCCATGGCAGCCGGAGTTCGGAGTGTCATGAACATTGAATGCCTAGGACTGGCTGGTTGAGTTTGATGGCGACATCTCCATGGACATGGCGAAGCTGCGGCCGCTGCTGGACAGATACAGTGACAAGTCCTTGGTCCTCCTGAAGTGGTACTGGAAGGAATGCCAACCCTGGGACTGCTTCCTGTGGGAGTGTGAGGACATGCTCCAAAATCGGAAGCTCAGCTGCACATCTCGCCGTGCGAGCATGAGTACAGTCCATCTGTAGCTTTCCACCAACCCATACTTGCAGACAATTTAAGGAAGGAGTATGTGGAGACCTCTTACGAGCGCATCGTGAAGTGGAAGGAGCAGATGAAGAAACTCCACGAGGACCCGAAGCTCCCTGCTTGCACTTGGTCATAGCCCTATAGGGAGATCTTCGGCTCCTTTGGCTTCAGATCGAAACGTATCCCATCACGTTGGTAGCCCCAGGCATCCTTTTGTCCCTGCGGCCTACTACGAGCTGAGCGTCATGTTCCGCAACGTTGCCTCTTGGCCCGCAGCAGATGGTATGATGGTGCAAAGGTGCAACAACAAAGCATGCAAGGCCCTGAAGCCATATTTGTCTACATGCCGTTACCAGCACTCAAGCGCATATTTCGTCATGAGGCGCACGCAAGGGCCGACGAGATCAAGGACGCATTCCGGCACCTTGACACGCATCGTTGATCTTCGTTTGACTTGCTTCTGGGCCCGGCGGCTCTGAGGATGTGTGGATCTCAGAAATCAGGCTAGTTTCAAGCTTGCACCTCTGAAGCTTGCAGGCAGGTGTTAGAGCAATGTCGCACCATCCAGCGCGACCAGTTCCTCATGCCTTTTTTCCTCTGGCCACTTGGCGGAGCTACGCGACGCCACAGGAAGTCAGCTGGTGTATTGTCTCCGGCGAAGCCGAGGAACTCCTCATTGGAACAGGACGTGGCCGCAATTCCCATTGACATGTTGCATCCTACTAAGATGTCTGCATCATCCATAAGTGTGCCAGGCAGGCCCAGTAGGCACGCGAAGAAGTGTGCCCCAGGTATTCTGACTTGAAGTATTGCAAAGTCGACACCAGAAATGCCAGCGCTCTCGCTGCATTTTTGCTTGGACAGCCTGCATGGCATCAATGATGTGTTTCAAGCGGCGTAATATCCTGTATTCGACGATGTTGGGAAATTGCCTAGTCTAGTGTCCGTCGGCAATGGGCTGATTTTGATAGGGCTTGTTCAGGCATCGATGGACTGGGCCGATGGCTAACCGTGAGAGCTCGGCCATGTACCACTCAGGAAATTTGCTGGCGCATCGAGACGTTCATGCGAACAGCGACATCAACGCCACGGGTCGACAAGACTTGGCAGCTCGCCATAAGTTTCGATTACGCTTATCAGCTCTCAAATAATCCCGGTCTCTACTGTCATGTCAGCTATGTCGCATGGCACCCGCACTGGGTGTATTGCATTGCACATCGAGCCAAGGATGTTGATACCATGGATTCGTGGCCGAATGAGTTCTCTCCAGAGCTTCACTTCGAGCCGCCGCTCACTGGCTGATCGCCCGCTGCGGAATCTTGCACGGCATGAGCCGTGCAAAAGACTGATGCGTGTGAGAATGAATGTGCTGCAGAAGCGGCAAGCAGTTGCACAACTTGTTTCACCTGCCGGAGGTGTGGCCGAGTCGGGGTAACCAGAGGTTTCTGCAGACCGAAGCCAACATCACTTGGTGCGCATCGTGACAAAACGCTGACCGGGTTCGTCCCTAAAGCCGTCGATCGAACGCATCTCGGTGGTTGGTGTACCCGGTGTGCACGCCTTGTCATGCACGGTCATTGCAACTGTAGCCCGCTGAGAACTTCAAAGTTCAAAGTCATGGGTCTTGCCTGGCCTTACAAGACCCGAAGACGACATGGGCTCACGCCTGGACCCTGATTCCCCTTCCACCTGTGGCTGCAAACCCGGAGTCTGGTGTTGCTGCCTTGCGGACTGGCTTTGCCTTGGGTTGCGACCTGTTCGGCTGAGCAGCTGAGCAGCCCAAACTTCCGCTGCCTGCAGGCCACCCTGAACGGCTGCAGTCGCTGGGCGAGTCTGCAAATGCCAATCCCCGAGACTCCGGTTTTCTTCCTCTTCAAGGGCATAACCTCCGCTGTCCATCAAGAAGCCTTCAGGCTGCGGCCGATGGCCTTGAAGAGGCAAAGGTCGCCCTTGCAGAGGTGCCTTGGGCTTCCAGGCTGAGCTATGGAGGGGCGGGGCTCGGTAAAGTGCCAGGGCCAGGGACCGAGACAGCATAAAATGAATGCTTCCTAGCCTCCTGCCGGGCGGAACATGAGCAGGAGAGAATGAGGAAACGAGACAAGAAAATTTGCTTGGATCCACACAGTAGCCGCTTGCTTAGGTTAAAACACGATGCCTCTGTCGTATTTTCTGCCCCCTGGCTGAAGTCTCAGAGCCCGTCTGCTGCACAGGAGGATCAGCAGACACGTGACCTACGCAGCGTCGTCACGCGCAATCAAGAGGCTCTCACGAAGCTGGAAGGCTGGACCCGGGTCTACCTCCTGTAGCCTTGCTGTTGCAGTGTTGCCAGGCGTGTTTTGGGGATGTTGGTGACCTGATCTTGAGAGAGATGGACTGAGACGGGGAAGGCGAAATACCTATGTATCTATATACTAGTGCGAGTGCTAAAAAATCTATATACTAAATAAACAAATAAATAGATAAATAAGTAAATAAATAAAAATATATATATATATATAGATATGTATGTATGTGTGTATGTATGTATGTATGTATGTATGTATGTATGTATGTAAGTATGTATGTATGTAAGTAAGTAAGTATGTAAGTATGTAAGTATGTAAGTATGTATGTATGTATGTATGTATGTATGTATGTATGTATGTATGTATGTATGTATGTATGTAGTGTATGTATGTATGTATGCATGCATGCATGGATGTCTTGGCTGTTTGTGGTTGTAACTTGCGTGTGTGACGTGTGGGCTCGAATGGCCTTTCCGGCACAGGCCACGATCATGTTTAAAAGGCAACGAGAACGCAGCAAATCGGTTTCGGAAGGCCGAACGCAAAAGCCCCTTCCTGCAAAAACCTTTCGTGGTGCTTCTGGTTCTTCTTGTTGCAGCTATGCCTGCCGAGGCAAGCTCGCGAATCTCGAGGCGGGAGACTTCACTGGGTCGGGATTGAGGGCACGAGCTCGGCCTGGCCTGAGAACCGAAGTGCCACTCGGCTACGGCCCTTGTGCTTGCAGTGGGGAGCCGCCGAAAGTTAGCGAGGACAGCCGCCGTGAGAAGAGTGCTCTTACGACGAAGCGTGGAGTTCTGCATGGATGAATCGTCCGAGTGAGCATGGCTACGGCGCCGATCATGTCTAGCACGACCTGAAAAGCCGGAGTGGACATCCATCCAGCGGCTCTAATTGACCTCCCTGCCCTGGGTCCTCGCCAGTTCTGGATGTCTGTGCTGCAGGCAGCCTGTGGCGCGGCCAGTGCAGGTCGTGGGGCGCTTCGATGCCGCGAGGAGGTGGAATCAATGGAGTTCCCAGTGGCTTAAACGGACAGAAACAGTGTCTGCACCGTACCTCAACCTGAACCTCACATCTCCGAGACTTCTACTTTCGTAAAACCTGCTCAGGGGTGTGATTCATGTTGGAACCACTAGGCAGACCCCCCACCGAACAGACATTGATGTGAACACTCTTGCAGAACTTGCGTCGCGTCTTGGCCAACAACCGTGCAGACTTCCAGGCCTCAGCATCGAGCTTGGGGAAGTGGCTGCTAGTCCAGGGTTTGGTTCTGCCGACACACCACCATCCCCATCGACCCCAGTGCACGTGTCGTTGCTGCGTCGAATGGCGTGGGTATGTCTCGCAACGGGAGTTCAAGAAATCGAGGCAGAGTATCTCTGATCGTTTGTATGTTTTCTGCGAGCTGCGATGCTGCATCTTTCGAACGCATGTGGCAGTGTTTGGATCTATTCCTGCCTGTCACGGGGCACTAGGAAGATGAATGTCTAACTGATCAGTCGAGGAAGGCCACATTCCGCACTTTCCGATCTGTTACACTATGGCTGACGAAGTGTGGTCCGTAAATTGTGTTCATTGCTGCACCCCTGGAGTAGGAATACACGGCAACTCTCAGCTAACCGAGCGGAGTCTTCGTGTTGCCTGGCATCTTCTAAACATCCCTGAAACAATGATTAATGCCAGGTGGAGGTAGAGCCATCGGCTCGAGAACTGATGAACAGGTCAAGCACTCACAACACCCAGCTACACTCTTGTCCTCGATGATCGACCGCCTGGACGACCTGCGATCTGCGGCCGCGGCTGCGGCGCGTGGTCGCTCGCGGCGCTCCTCCGGCGCAGCTTCGCCGAGGCTGTTGCGATCGCCGGAGGCCAGGACGGATTTCAGAAGGCATCGCAAATAAGCGTCTATATAGCAGTCACAGCGGCAGTGGCAGTAGCGGTGGCGGTGGCGGTAGCAGTAGCATTAGCTGCAGCAGCAGCAGCAGCAGCAGTAGCAGCAGCAGGAGCAGGAGCAGGAGCAGCAGAAGTAGCAACAGAAGTAGGAGAAGAATATTGCTGTTGTTATTGTGAGTTTTATTTTTGTTATGCTGCTAAGTCTTCTTCTTCTTAGTATGGTTACGATTATGACTGTTTTGATTATTTTACGTATTCTTATAGGCGTAATGAGGAGCAGCGCAGCAGTGGCAGTAGCGGTTGCCGTTGCAGTTGCAGTTGCGACAGCAGCAGGAGCAGGAGTAGCAGTGGTAGTGTTATGGTTGTAAGTAGTAGTCGTCGTGATTAGTCGTAGTCATTGGCATAGTCGTAGTCGAAGCAGTAGTAGAATTAGTTGGTAGAAGAAGTAGTAGTCGTAGTAGTAGTAGTAGTAGTAGTAGTAGAAGCAGCAGAAGCAGAGGCAGTAGGAGTCGTAAGTAGCAGTTGTCGTCGTCGTAGTAGCCACAGTAGTCGTAGTAGTAGAGGTAGACTTGGTGTAGTAGTGGAGGAGGGGGAGAGGTAGTAGTAGCAGCAGTACCAGGAGCAGGAGCAGCAGCTGTAGCTGTTGCTTGCATGTTGACTCTGATCTGTTGCCCATTCCACCATACCGACTTTGCCTCCCTCCGTGCGGTTGTCAGAAGTTTCCTATCTATGAAAGAGGATAGAGTGAATGTTCAGTGAGAGGCTCCGTTCTAGTTGGATGCTAAGCTCTAGTGGAGGCATCGCCACCACCCACACCTCAGCGCCCGCGGCAGCATATTGTGGAATGCGAGCCGCATGTCAGCGCTGCCTTTGTAGTACTGCAACTGCAGCCATGCCTTAGCCGCCCAGGATCCAGCCCTACTCGGTTTCCAGCTCAAGCTCGCTGTTGCGTCGCGCGGATGCAGGCACCAGGCCATTCTTTTTTCGCATGCTGCTCTCCGACCACTCCTTCCTTGAGGCGATCCTCTGCAGGCTTTCCTGGCGAAGCTGGAGTCCGTCCGGCTCGGGCCGCTCCAGGAGCTGGAAGGCTCTCGAACCGTCTCAAATGCAAGCGGGCCGGTGCATACGTAGATGTGGATTCCACGCAGGTTCCCTCGCGGAGGCTCAGACGCTTCATCTTGCAGCCTTGAGCGCGACGACCGCCAAAGGAGAGAAAGATGCAGGGGCCTTGGTCTCCGCAGCTGAAATCAACCAACGTTTTGGTGCGCCGTTTGCCCAACCATAACCTGGACGTCGTGCCCGCGCTCGGAGCCCAAGGCACTGCTGAAGGCCGAAGCCTGCGCCGAGCGGGCTTCAGCTGCAGCATCCAGGAGCCGGTGCTAGTTATTGCGTCACGATGTCAGATTCCAGCTTGATATTTCCTCGAAGAAGCGAGATGCCCGGACTTGGCTAGAAAGGGGCAGTATAGGCAGGCAGCAAAGTATGTAGATGTCTCTTGACCGAGAGCCTCCCCGGTCCTTAAGAGCCTCCGACATGTGCGGAGGACGTGTAGCGAGCTGAAGTCCATGGCTCCAGAGCCTGGTGCCACTGGCTCGGAGGCATCGAATCTGCTTTCCTAGCGACAAGGTGACCTTTGCAGCATGAGTAGTGCAAACACAGTCTTTGAGCCCGATGTGTGCCTTGAGCCAAACTGGCCTTTTATCCATGAGAGTTGCCTTCCAGCAGCTGGCACACCCTCCCACCCTCCCACGCATGATAGGCCACGGTGGGAAGCAGTATCAGTAGTAGGCGTGAGTAGGAGTAGAAGTGGTAAGTAGCCGCGATGGTGGCCACAGAAGGTATCGGAAATCGATGCCCGGCTCCAATTTTCTTCGACTTTCAGCAGCGGGAAGCAATCGTTGCCTTAGCAATCCTAGGCCCCTCAGTGCTCTTAGGTTCCTGTTCCGGGGTTGTCAAAGCAAGCAAGGCAACAACCAAACCACCCCGAATAAGAACCCGACCCTGCTCTTGACCGGAAAGGTGGGGTACGCTAAGGCTCTCAGTTTTGAGGCAACCTCACCTTTGCTAGGGTAGGTTCTTATACAGTGTGCTCGTTTGTAACAGTTTTACCTGTCCCATGATAAACAGCAGCAGCAGCAACAGCCACGGTGGCAGCGGCAGCGGCACAGCAGCAGCAGCAGCAGCAGCAGCAGCAACAGCAGCAACAGCAGAAGCAGTCTCGGAGCTTGTTTTCGGGTATGGAAGAAAGCATCACAAGCACAACCTTAACGACTTTCATGCACAAACAAGCTAATACCAAGAAAATGGACGATGCCGATACCGATGACGACGACGACGACGAGGATGATGATGATGATGCTGATGATGATGAGGATGATGATGATGATGATGGCCGCGGTGCAACGGAAATGGCAAAGGCAACAGCAAGAGTTCCCACCACCACCACCGCCGCCGCCGCCGCCACCACCACCGCCACCACCCCCACCACCGCCACCACCACCCCCACCACCACCACCACCACCACCACTTGAAGACATGAACGGGCGTGTGTTGCCGAGATGAAGCGCTACATACAGATAATCCTTAAATCTCGCCGAGGGATTGGGGAGTCTCGCGGAATCTTTGGGCTTGTGCCCAGGTCCGGTGTTACAGGGGTTTGTGCCTTACTATGCTCAAGCCTCGCGTTTTGTCGTGTGAGGCCGCCCTGCGACGACAGGCTTTTGCAGGGGTGTCGGTCCTCTTCCAGAGCCGGGCTTAGTTTTGGATGGCTCGGCCTCGGCTGCCTTCTGTCGGTGTTGGGCGATGCCTGACTCAGGAACGCGCTGAATTCCTATTTCCAGGCACAGATGAGGTTTCGGCAAGAAATGGAGGACTGGGATTGAAAACTGCCCGGCTGTTTACGAGCAGGGTTGCTTCTTGCTTCGCATTGCTTGTTCCACAAATTTGCCCGAAGCTTGTTGCGTGCGAGTAGAATGTGGAGAGGATAAAGTTTCTCGACAGCTCCGTGCAGCTTTTCCGGAAGCGGATGATACAGCGTTCTGGCCGCAAATTCTGGGCTCATGGTTTGGAGCCTGATAACACTGAGAATTCAAAAATAGTGCAAGTCAACTTCCCGTGCATGCTCCCAGTCTGATGTGCTCGTCACACTCCCTAAACTCCCTAAACAATCCCAAACAGTAGGCTGTGGCCAAATGCATTCAGGTCGTCGAAGCTGTGGCTGCAGGCCGCATTGCTTCCTTGATTGGCTTCTGATTTCCAATGGCTCACATTCGGACTCACGAGCTTCTCTTAAGAAGATCGATGTCTCTATTGCTCTCTTCCTCTCCTTGTCGTGGCTCTCTCCAGAGCCAGCCTCTAAAGTGCAAAGAGTGGCCCTCAAGGCCGCGCCTCCGCGGCCTCGACGATCCAAGATGCCATCTTGCGCCAGTCAGGCAAGAAATCGGGTTCACATCTGCTTGCCTTAGGCATGTCTCCAAGCTTCCAGTGGAAGAGGCACCGCGCCCTTGACAACTGCCAGCGCGCTTCAGGCTACCCGGGAGAAGTGCCTGCCGCTCAGATCCTGCAGTAGGCTCCCCACCCTGGAGGAATTGTAGAGTCGAACACACCCGACGCCAGACGGAGCACCCAACTGTCCACCCTCAGCACTCTTAACAACCCAGATCAGGCGATGAGCTGGCCAACCTTGCGCGTGCCGCGCGAGATCTGAGTCAGGCGGAGCTCTGACTCCTAGTGGGTTTTGGCAGGTGTTTCAGCCCTCTCGGATGCCAGTTGCCCGCCATGCTCCGTCTGCCGACTCGCGTGTTGTGCCCCGTATGGTCTATAGTGGAGCTGAGCTGTGGAGGTCTTCGTGGACGTCGAGTCCCTTGTGAATTCCCAAGGAGAAATCCTGAATGACATCGGGCCAGGCGCTGAGACGCGAAGCTAGCCGTGGTGGAGAATCCAGATTGCTGCCAGCGCTTGTGACTCAGAAGCCATGTGGCGTCAACGCGGGTGCATGCCTCAGCTCTTCTCGTTCGGTCCTTCCCGGCTGGCGAAGTTGGTAAGCATGCGCAGGGCTGCAACATGATCAGGAGCAGGTGAAGCGCGGGCACGAGGTGCTTCTGCAGGCTACGATTGATGCCATCACCACTTGCTCGACCCCTTCAACCATGAGCCACCAGATTGCCGTAATTGCTGCGAGGCCAGCAGAGCTCGTAGTGCTTGCAGATGGCGCTGGACGGCCCTGATCCTGATCCTGGTTCCTTGGCTTCCATCCTGCCAAGTACAATTTCTGGAGACTTGAGTTTTTTCTTTCGCTAGATGTTTCTGACGTTATCAGCTTCAAGCTTTTCCGCTGCACATGCCTCGGAGAGCCCTTGCACACTGAGATCGTGATTTGCCTCGTTCTCTTCATCGTCTTTTCCATGGTGAAGGACCTGGGCACAGACACATTCTGGCACATCCCAAAGGCTCATCAAAGCCGTCACAACGGAAGTAGTCGTAGCGCGAGGCCCATCAGTCTCATCATACACCTCGCGAGTCCATCGTGGCCTTCCTTGGTCAGCCGCTTTATGATCTTTGCTCGTTTGCGCATGTGTGGCACGATGTTTTTATCTGTGGTCGGTCCCGCTCGGCCGAGGTCAGGAGCTTTGGAGCAAAATTCCTCCGCTCGCACTGAAGCTTTCCAGCTGAAGCTCAACTGAGTCACAGCAGTTGCGCAGGGGCAGCTAATGCTGCCAGAAAGGGAGCCACAGGCACAACGAGAACTCTCCCAGCATACCACGAGAGTTTGAAGTGTTTTTCTCCCTTGTGCCTCCAGCTCCTGCCTGCCGACTCCTGTGTAGCCATCTGTAGCCGCTCCCTGTGTATATTTACATCTTGGCCGATGCTGGTTGCTAGAACCGGCCTGAAGGCCCCAACTTGATCTCCTGTATGCTCTGCGATGATTCGCGCACCAAAGGCAGATCACCCAACCCCCCCCGTCCCCACCACACCGTCGGCCGGCCTGCCTTCACGGCATCAGAGGATCTTGCAGCAGACTGAGAGCTTTCTTTGTGAGATACAGGGAGCGACCGCTGTGGCATGGAGCGATCTCTTCCCTTGCCAAACTGTGATCCTGATGCCAGCGCCGGACCTCCCTGCTGGCAGAGTGTGGGGACCTCCTGCGACGCATGAACAACGCCGGGGGCCGAGGCTGAGACTTCTAAGTGGCTACGGCGACTGCGGCTCGTGTAAGCGTTGGAGTTAATCGAATTCGACAGACTGTCTGAGCGAGCTTCCCGCACGCCGCATGCCGCGACTATGCCGGAGCACGGCATTCAGACAGGAATTCAAAAACCGGTGAGTGGCAAGTAGAAAATGACCCGTCAAACAGCCAAACATACGGATTTTGACGCAGACCTGGATATCTTGTGTCGCTAATGCGGGTGAGTACCTCTGAGAGAAGCAGCGCATGGAATGCTCCAAACCCTTGCTACATCTTTCAGCTCTGTTGGCATCACTCTTGGCAGAGCCAATTCCAGTGCCCGAGCTGGCCGACATTTATTGATTTCTGGCATCCCCAACCCGCCGGCAGGCACAATCGGGAAAGTGGCTACTTTCCCGCACGAACCAGGGCACAGTCTGGATCCAAAACCTGATCCGACCGAGAATTGACGATAAAAAACCCGGGAAGTATTTTGCTGCCACCTCAGGCAAAGCCGGACCGGCATAAGAGATCCAGTCTTGAATGTGGCTTTGTTTTCGACCAGCTTTTGCCAAATAGTTTAGCCAAGAGCCCATGCTTGGTGGATCATAGTCATGTAGAGATGAGGAAAGCCCCGAACGCTTCTGCTACCAATCTGTCCGGCAATCTTGAGGCGTGGCAGAATGCAGATGTCCTGCATCCAAGGAGATCCTCAGCCTCAAGGGCAACGTGCGGGTTTGGTACTCAGCCTGGCCGCTGCGTTGCATCTCTGCTGGAGCTCCACTCTCCAAGCCGCCACCGCTTCTACCGCATACCCTGTGCGTGTCTGTCGTGCTGCTAGGCAGGCAGTCAAGCTAGTGCAAGCAGTCGGAAGTTTTGTCGTGCAGGCTTTCGCAGGGTCAACCTCTGCCGTACTCTCCCTTGCACTGTTTCAAAGACTTCAGCATGTCCGCAGACTGGGCCAATCCTTCAGTTGCCTTGCTGGATCGCGTAGCAAGCCGAGATCGGCTCACCGCCGAAAATTCAAAAGTGTGATCACAGGTCTTCTGCCGTTGGCGCCCAGCCCTGTCCGGCCAGGCGTAGTGGTGTTCTCCACAGTGTCATGCGGCACGAGTCCAGGTGTTCTGGCTCTCAAGCGCTTGAACTTGCAGTATTCATATGAACCGCTTGTGTGCCCGCAGCATCTTATCTTGAATCTAGCAAGGAGGAGGCTTCGGAGACGGTGCCCGTGGAATTTCGGGAAGACCTGCAAGGGATCACAGCGCCAGCCCCAGTGAAGAGGCGTCAAGTCAGGCATGCCGCACTTAGCTTGGAGAATCTGCCATGTTTGGGTTGGATTAGAGTGGGCAGCATGTTTCCAGACATCCAAACATGCGATTAAAAAACGCTCCAGATGATGGGCCGTTCCAAACATACGGCGACATAAGGGTCCCCATAGCAGGTGTGGAGTTTGGACTTGGTATTAGTGTCATAATTGTCGCATTGTTATTAGTAGCAACAGCGCTGGAAGCCGCAGTAGCGGTGGTGTTGTCGTCCTCCCCCTCATCGCAAAAGCAGAAGCAGCATTATTGCATTAATTCAGTTATCGTTATTATTCGTGGTGGTCACTGACAGCAGTGGTGATAGTCGTCGTCGTGGTGGTGGCAGTAGTAAGTAGTAGAAGCAGCAGTAGAGCAGCCGCAGCAGCAGCAGTAGTAGCGGTAGCAGCAGCGGTAGCAGCAGCGGTGCAGCAGCGGTAGCAGCAGCAGCAGCCGCCGCCGCCGCCGCCGCAGCAGCAGCAGCAGCAGCAGCAGCAGCAGCAGCAACAGCAACAGCAACAGCAACAGCAGCAGCAGAAGGAGTAGGAGTGGGAGTAGGAGAAATGAGAAGGGGTGAGACTGTTCCGAGGCCTTAGAATTTAAACGTCCGATCCCTAACGACTGTTTGGCCTTTGCATCATGTGCTGCCGCAAGTGTGCATCAACTTCGTTGGGTCCAGGTCTATGGCACGCCCCAGCTGAATGTGACGGGTCTAAGCGAGCAGACCAGGTCCTGCTCAGGGGTGCGACGTGCCGATGAGGCTTATAACATAATAGTAACAAATTTGATGTTATCTTAGTAGCAGTAGGAGTCGAGCTTGTTTTTGCACCCAGACTGTTAAGGTCGTACCGAGCAATGTGCAGGGGTTTTGGCGACATGATATCCTCAAACGCAGAGCAAGTTACTACATGTGCAAACACCTCACCAAGAATGCCTGACGCATCCTGGGCTCAAGTCCTGCGCGGGGTGCGCCGCTGCCACTTTCCGAGTACTCGGAGGCAAGATGCTCCGTGCCCTGAGGCCGACTCACGTTTTGAGGAAGCCCTATTTGAGGTACAATCGTGTCTGTGCATCCGCGTTGCTGACACAGAGACAACGTTGCTTGGACAGGTGAAGCTGCATGGCCCTCATGCGCAATGGAGGAAAGCCCTGCGCGCGGCCGACGGGTCGGCGTCTTGGACACGAATCTCCAGAGCGTGTCAGACGGATGTCTGCTCCCAGGGAACCATGCGGCTTAGCCTTGCCGCGCCAAGGCCAGCTGAAGGTGTCGGTCTCTTTAATTCAAGAGCTTTTCCGGGCAGGCTGTCCAAAGAGCAGCTGGCAGAGCTCGAGAAAGCAAAGGACTGCATGCATGCTCGAAACTTAGGAGGGAAGTACCCCCCCCCCTCCACCCCGCACAAGGATGCAAGGAACGAGCAGTTGGGAAACGGGAAATTCACACCAGTAGGCTGTCAAGCGTCTTGGCAACTAGTGGTGCAGCTTCTCGAATTTCATTCGGGAGAAATTCGATGGGCAAGTTTCAGACGACAGATTTTAAAAGGAAGTCTGCTTGCGTGCTGAATCCCGTCCAGCAGGCGAAGCGGGAGCTGGACGAGATCTTCGAGCGGAGTATCCATGTGTCCAAGCTGCCGTTAGGAGGCAGAGTGGTCAGAGGCACGTGCCTGAAAAATTCGATGTGCGGGCCGGATACAAAGGTGACGTCCTTGAAAGACGAGGACTTTGCGAACGTGCTGGGGCCCGGCTGGAAACAGCACTGTGGCTGCAATATGTGTTTCGCGAGTTGTGGGCGAGGCTTGCCACTTGACGTGTCTTACACGAGGCAACATCCCACCAAGATCGACTTCAGCAGTCCCGGCCTGAGAACCGTGCCTGGCTGTACTGGTTTGCCAGCGTTTCTGCGAGTGTCTGCCACCGGCCCCAGAGTGCAGCTTGACCGGAGATGGGAGATGTCTCAAAGGTGATCGTTACCAGCTGGACACGCTGGAGGGCCCGTCGGGGGGTCTCCTTCACCCCCAGCTGCGCAAGCACAGGGTCCAGCTGGTGGATGCTCCCAAGATGGTTTAAGCGGCGGTTCTGTCCATTATCGATGGCAAAAGCGGTTGGAGCCGAGGGCTTTTCTTCAGAATTCATACTCTACAAAAATTGAGTGGCAATCAACTTTCCGATGCCGTCTGTAAAGCTGCTCTTGTCACAGAGGCCTGTTCTCGAGCCCCACGCTGTCATGAGGACGAGAAAGCGAACATGAAGACACCAAGCCAAGCAACCTAGGTTTCCAACAGCCACTTGATGGACATCTCGGTGTTGAACAAAGCCAACGGTTTCGATTCGTTGCACACCATCATGGCTGCTCTGCTTGTTTGAAGCGTAGAGGCATCTAGGTGACAAACCACACTGCACAGGCTTTTCAAGTTATCATGACGGTTTTATGGGCATACCAAGGCAAGAAAGAACCTGTTGTCTCGCATTTCGCTGAACCTGCCGAACTTGATCGAACTGAGCCGGGGCTGCAATGCTACAGCTGACGTTCTACTGGGTTTCCAATCCCGAGGCAACCATCATTTATTTTTGAATTATTGTTTGTGTCGGTGCTGCTGTCCGCAGCACAAGCCTCTGCATCAGCTTCACAAGATCACCTGACCAAGTTTTTGTGATTTGTTTGAGGAACCTGGCGTACAACCTGCTCAAGAACATGCTGCTCAACATTTCCAGCAATGCTTTCTTTTGAGGGCGAGGGGGGGGGGCCGGGTCGGGTACGCGCACTCTGAGGATGATTGGGATGCCATGCGCTCCCTCTTGCGCGATGCTCTTGAATGTGCTTCAAGCTGGGCGTCGTAGCAGAAGTAGGATTCACCTTGACGAGCAATCTGTCCCAGTCAGCATGCGATGCACAGGAATGTTGGTAATGAGCGAGTTGGATACGGGTAAGTCAGCAAAAAGAAACTGTAAAGAGGTAGTTTGACAGGCATACTTGCTTTTGCAGATCCACCTCAACCCAGGCCGAGCCTGGGTCTTCTTCCCTCCCTGGAGGTGCTGATTTTGTGCCTTGGGCTTCCCAGCAGTGTGCGGATTTCGGGTTTCGGATGGCTTCCCTTGTTGAGATGTCAAGCAGTCTTCCTTTGATGCTTCGCGTTTGTAAGGCGTATGCCATCACAGTTTTTTTTTTGTTGCCTGAGTGTGGCCAGGTCGCACAACCAGCTCAGCGGCAGTCTTGAGAATCTGAAGTCCTCCATGCGCATCAAGCGCCTGGATTTGGCGTACAACGAGTTCGACCCACAAGCTCAAATTGGCTTGGAATAGAAGGGGTGGAGCCACAATGCCCGAATCCAAGGCTTGGGATTGGGTCACCTGCTATTGGAGCATTCGACTCACCGTTCGGCTTTGACTCCTTCGAACAAGACTGTGAGTCAGATGTATGGCAGCTACCAAACGATCTCAGGACTGGACCCCCTCGCAGCTCTCGCAAGCGCTGAACGCCATGAGCCACCTCCGCAGTCTGCAAAACCTCCGGCTCTACCATAACAAGTTTGTGGTGCCTCTTCTCGGATAGAAGCAAGCAAAGCCCAAACCTTCCTGGTGCTACAGGGGCCTGCCGAGCATGTACCGAGGCATGCTTCAAAGAATACCAGATCTATGTGGTGAGCAAGCTGAAGTCTCTGCAGAAGCTGGATGATTGCATCATCACAATGCGTCTCGGATTGCAACCTCCCTTATCACTCTTTTCGCTCCTCGTCTGCTGAGATGATTCCCTTCTCTGCATAAGCATAGTGTGGACTTGTTCCGTCTGCGCATGCTTCTTTTCCAAGCCGAAAGCCTCAACATCCATGCACATGTTGTTTTGACGCTTTGGGGGATACGGATACCTGAACAAAAAAGAGCCGTCCGTGGAGGCAGTAAGCGCATGGTTTTCTCAGGGACATGCGGGATGAGATCGAGAGTACGAACCTCTTGGCCCTTGATGTCTACGATGTTGCCTTCAAGAAGCGACAGGACAGCGCCTCTTGCGATGAAGCGGACATACAAACTCAAAGTATGACTCCAGCAGGAAGTGCCAGTCCATAGGACTACTCTGTTGCATGTGCGTGAATGTGCCTCTGGAAGGAGGAGTTGGCACGGAAACAGAGCAATGCTGGAATGGGGTCCAGCTCTGAGTTGGGATGTGCCGCGCCGCACGCAAACGGTGAGACCAGTGTCGTTACGTTGCAGCCTGCCCTGCTGCCGTCTCCTTGTTTTCTTAGGCTTAAAATGGGAGCAGGGGTGGGCAAGCTGAAGCTGATCATGGAGTCCTTGGAGGAGATATTGGAGGCCGTTGGGTGGGGGATGTAGATGTCGACAATCAACAGCCTCTGGGCATCTCGCCCGAGAATGCCCGAGACACCCCGTGGATGACAGGAGCCCAGTGCGCTGGCTGCCCGCATCGGCATCGTCCGTGAGAATGCGGCCCTCAGGGCTCAAAGCAGCGGGGCGGAGGCAGTGGTTTTGGACCATCTCGCTGAACCGTGCGACTTGCAGACTGTAAGGCAATGTAATTAGGGCTCAAGTTCACGCTTTTGCCATGTCTAGGAAGAGGAAACGGTAGAATTGTCTTGGACAGAAGAGCGGTGCATGAAGAGACTTGCGCGGTCTGTCAGGGCTTCGACGTCGAGGAGGTATTTTGGGATGGCATGATGGACCATGGCAGCTCTGACAAGGAGACCCGAGTATCCTCCCGCTCGCCGTTCCTACTTTCTCATCTGCTGTACTCTCGCGCCTCAAAATATTCAGGGGAGTTTCAGGAGTGTCTGTGCTGTGAAGAGCCCTGTGAGATCGGATGATTGGGTTCGGAAGCAGATGCCTGGAGGGCTGGTAGTGGGTCTGCCCGAGGAGATGCAGATCACAGTATCCTACATCCTTGAGCTGATCACGGCAGCAGGGTGCTGAGTGCAGAGGGCGCGGGTCACAACTCGTCTGTCTCACGGGGTGCTCTAGTGAGGTTGAGGGTCGTTCGTAACCATTCGTTTTAGATTCAGGAGGCTCGACAGCTACACTTCCTTCCACCATCAACGCCTAGCTGAGCCAAGTTCCTCCAAGCTATAAACTTTGCTCCATCCGTCCATCGACCCTTCAGGTTATGGAGCGCCACGACACGGCCCGGAACAACTTGGTGGACACTTTAGGCTGCCCGGACGAAGTGACGTCGCAGTGTGGCGGGGCGCTTTAGTACTTTAGTGGCCGTGAAGGAATGGGAGCATGCACGTAAAGCAAAGACGGGCCCCGAAGCCACTGAAGATCCATGGGGTTAGCAACAGGCCAACATGATTCCTAATGAACGTGACGGGCATAGAAAGCTTCAATGCCCAGCTGCGAGGCTTCTTGTCGTGCATTGTCTCATATGACCTCGGCAACCGGTGCTTGGACCTGCTCCGACGCATGATGCTGAGCAGTGATCATTGCCTCTTGGCTTTCGTCTTGCGAAGCCATGGCCACCAGGTTCAGGGAGGGCTGAGCCACTGGGACTCGAGGCCGTGAAGAAGCAGGTCGCGGAGTGAAGACGATCGTGGTCCCCACACTGCTCGCTTTTGGTGAGGTTCATCTGCTGGACACGACACAGATCTGAAGACCGGCAAGCAAACATTTCAATTGATAGATCTTTATTGGCGTCTCGTGTTGTGTTCAGGCCGACATCAACAGTGAGATCACGAAGACGATGCTCCTCGGTCTCCTCGATCTGGTGCAGGAAAAGCAAATCAGGCCGGTGGGAAACGACCCCTGAGCCATGATGGGTGATTTTTGCCATGTCGCTTCTTTCGACTTTCGATTCTTCGAATCCTCTCACACAACATCAGCATCATGCCGATTCCAATGTCAGCCAATTTCCGAGGGAGGAGGTCTGCGACATTCTCGAGGAGTTGCTCCCTTTGCTGTTGAACTGGTTCCTCCAGGACGCTCTGGCTGCAGCTTTTCGGGGGATGACTTCCAAGATACCCGCTGTCAGGCTGTTGAGTTCCATATGGGGCTTATAGGGGTCGTATGCTTTCAGCAGTGAGCCTGATCCTCGTCGTTGTTCCACCTGCTTGTCTTGCTTTTGCATCAGAATTCATCGCGCTTCATTCCCGCCAGTATCGATATTGGAAGCCGAAGCCATATCAGCACGACTTGTCGCACGTACGCTATGGATGCCAGGAAGAATACCTCACCGAGGATGGCGCTCACATTGCCCCATGGCTCAGTTTTTTGTCCATGCGCGATGTTATGATTGAATATGCTCGAGAGGTTCCGTGGCAAGTTTCGCGGCCTTCAGTTCCACCCCGCCCGCTTCGAAAGCATGGAACAGCCGGGACACGACAACCCTTTAGCCGGGAATCCTGAGGTGAAGCTCCTGGCCTCCATCACAGTTCCGGAGGCAGGCTTCTAGTTGTCGATTTGATGATCACTACTTGAAATCAGCTTCGCCCTTGCAGGAGTACGCCACGAGGGCTGCCACACCTGAACTTGCGGCGAGGTGAGCCGCTTCGGAGCCTCTCCGAGTCCTCCCTTTGTCATGCTCTGTCAGGACAATCATGCACCTGGAGAACAAGGCCTTGTTCGTGACCTGGCCATCTGTGCGAAAGTCACAGCCGGCGCATACTACCACAGAACGAAAGGTCCAGGTGGCTAGAAGTTTTCATCTGGCTAGCTGCATGTGTCACGCAGCGCATTCAGCCGAGGATAACATGCGGCTCAGAAGCACCTGGATCGACGTGCTCCAGATCTCGCAGAACATCATCATGTACGGCTCGCAGGATGCTGGGGTCGAAGCCCCCTTTAATTAAACATCTCCCTAGTCCTAGTGCAGAGCCACAGTTTCCGAATAGTTTGCTGTTTAGTTCAGCAGACGCGGACTTTGTGCAGGAGATCGTGGACATGTTCTACAAAGCTGCAAGCCACTCCAAGGCCGGAGTCTTATCCTGAAGAGCTGAAGAGCTAGCAGAGTCCGGGTGGAACCTTTGCCGAAGCCTTCAGAGGGCCCAGAGCTCTTCTCAGGTCGTGGCTCGCCTCCGCCAGGTGCTCACGGCCACGAAAGGCATCGGACCTTTTGGAAAGCGGAAACCAGGATCAGACTCCAACAAAGGTCGACTCGCATCGTCTAAGTCTAGCTGCGCAGAGTTTCGTAGCTCTCATACAGTACTATACCTGTTGAAGAGATGCACTTTGACTGCCTTAACACCGGGTTTTGGCAGGGCGGCACAACGACGAGCCTCTGCCAGCGAGGACAACCCGTTTCTGTATACGTTGGAAATGCCAGAGCCTTTCTGCACGTCGTCAGACATTCCTTGGTTAGCTCATGACGAACGCTTGACCCAGGATCGCTTGTATTTGTCACTTCGTCTCCGCGATGATGCAACGAAGCAATGCTTCTCTGCAAGAGCGCCTCGGTGCTGGGACTTCGACGTTTCAAGCCCGTACTCGTACTGTGCGAGGGGCATGTTTGCGTGTTGGGGTCCAGGAAGCACCGTGTCCATTGCTTTCAGAGGTGCTGTGATCCCATCTGCTTCCAAGACGTTCTCTGCCAGCTTCTACGGTCCCACCTCGTCGACCCACTGATCTTGGAGGCAAAGTGCGGCTTGTAATTGAACCATACGGGCATGATACCTTGTTGCAAAGACTTGCGGGGGAGGCGGTGACGAAGACTCTGCGGACGATGCTGGAAGATCCCAAGGTCTACAAGAAGCAGGCTTTGGGGCTTGGTGCTCCCAGCTGGCCCATGAACTCAGTGGCAGAATCTGTTTTCGTAGACTCACCGGCCTTCCTTGGAACCCTTTAACCATGCGCCTTCTCAAGTACCTGTCTCGTAGAGCTAGCACCAGGCCATCCGGGTCGTGGAGGATCTGCGGAAGGTGACACCACTCCTCCAGTTTCTGGGGGGGAAGAAGCTACCTGACGCAGTTCAGACTCCGGAGTTTTCTGACACTTCGGAGATGCTGAATGCGTGTATCCAAGTTAATGATGATGGGGCATAGCGGGCACAGTGTCCTTTGCATGCGATGATCTTATCGAAAAGCCGGAGCCCGAAACCGTAAAGATCAGCCGAAGGTATCCCGATCTCTACAGGATGGCCCTCAAGTACTCCGAGGATCAGTCAGGTGATGCTCCCCCGTTTGCAGATCTCGAGAATGCCACTTGGCGACTTGAGAGGAGCTTTGGTTTTTGCTTTTATTGCTGGTAGATCAAGAATATGCATGTATGTGCACGTTCTATTCCGCCGCCCAAACCAGGACTGGGTCACCAATGCCATGATCGGTCCGGATCTCATGAGATCATGTGAGCTTTCCGTTTGATCTACTGCAGCTTAAAGCCGGGACGTGCCAAGCCTACTACTGAGTAATCGTTGGAGTGGAGCTTCGCAGCTTTGCAGAGAAGTGTGAGCTAGAACAGCTCGACGAAGGCATTGTGACTTTGGTGGAATTCTTCGCTGCAGAAGATGCCGCCCGGTGATGTGATGGCTTCAGCAGCTAGCTAGTGCAGGCAGCCACTCACGAGGTGCTTATTTCCCACTTCAACCCCGAAGAGGGCCGAGTTATTGCTTATGCAGGGACGATCCGGAGTGCAATGAGGGTTGGCGAGGGTACGGCAACATTTGTATGTGGCCAGTGTAATGCAGAAGAATGCTACTTATATCATCTTGCAGGTTTCAAGCTTCATGACCATGCGCTTGTGAGCATGCACGCAATGACGACTGAGCTCTATCGACTCTGCTGCTTTTATTTGCCTTAGCTTCCGTTGCCCCCCTTCTTAAGTTTTGAGCTGTGAGGATGAGTTGAAAGCTGCGAACGAAGCAAGGAGAGCATCGAGGACGACCAGGCCCGGCAGCTGGTGAACGATGCGATGAACACCCAGGGGAGTCTCGGCCTCGTCCGCTTTTCGGGCAGTCTCTCTTAAGCTACTGTGATACTGTATCAAGAGCGACTGGGAGTGAGAAAGAGCGCCACCATGGGAAACTTGCAAAGGAGAGAGACGATTCTGCTGAAGCTTCTGGTGATCCCCTGCGATGACTTGAAGCTTGGCCCCACTTCGTTTGGTCACAGTACTGAATTCTTGGAGGAATCGAGCACGGCATGTGTGGGAGAGGTGTCGTTCCAAAGCTGGAGGTCTATCTTCCTAAGCACTGCAAGAACTGTGCCCGAGGGCATAGACAACATATCATCTGTAAGGGGTTCCGTGCCCTGCAGATGACCCTCTAAGCTTTGTTGCCGCAGACGTGCGCATGGCTAACAGACGGAGACGTCTAGCGACTCCAGACAAGTCTCAGATGATCGGCTGTGCTACCAGATCTCAGTTTGTCCATGGCTGGCCGACACTGTGTACAGGCAGTGTCGGCGTTGCCGATGCAAGTGCTGCAATTTGACACGTGCAGTCGTGTGAAGGTGTGCCAAATCTCAGCCCATGCGTGCGTTGCCATCCCGTTTGAGTACGTGCATGACCTGGCTTCCCCGTGGCTTCGGTTCCACAGCCCCAAGCCCAAGCTCAAGCCGCGCGGAGGAAGTTGATCGTCATGCGCTGCTTAAGCAAGGTGCCCCTCAGCGGCTTGGCAATATACTGTTGCAAGCTGAGCAGGACCCCTCAATTCCGACTCAGGGATTGCTCGGAAGCTGCCATGCGGGAGCCAAAATTCCGACTCAATTCCCCACATGCAACATAAAAAGCACTGATGCCGCATACCTTCTTCCATACATGCAGCACTAGTAGTGTAAGTAAGGCCTTCGTGAAGGCATGTTCGTTCCTAACAGTAGGTTCGGGCAAGATCTATGTATGTCTATAATATGATACCTTGGTCATCCCTGGCGCAAGGTCAGATTGAGCCCGATGAGATGGGTGCTATCGTGAAATGCCTCTCCGACGTGAAGAATATCGGAGAAGGGCGCACTGAGGAAATGCAGCTTGCCCTTACAACTTAGATCGGTGCGACTGGAGCTTCGAGTGAGTGTCTCTGATCGTCGAGACCAGAGACCCCCCCATGCCCTGTGCAGGAATACATATGTCTATGAGGGGACATGCCAGCGGTTCAGCTTGCTTGTTCAATTCCTTCCGCACGTTTTGAGTCTTGATACGGTAAATATTCCGGTAGACTTCTTTTGGCTTTAGCTGCTTTCGGCGGTTGACGTGTTTGCCGATGTGACCAGACACTGCAGCATCGGAGCACCTTCGCACGCCTTCGAACTTGCATGTGACTTGCGGTGACAAGCGCTCGCGAGCTTCAGAACCCAAGAACGATGCAGCGTGGCAGGTTGGGGCCGCTTCGGTTTTGATTCTCTTTCCCAATCACAGTTCGCCGCGAGTGAATTCCTTCAGGCTGGCGTTGGTGGTGCGTCAGCTTGAGCGACTGCTGCTGGCTCCGGGCGACACCGGTATCCGGGAAGCAATGCAGCACTAGTCAAGCCGCGTCGAAGCTGTTCTCTGGTCATATCCTCAGCCCCGGGCCCTGCCCCCCTGACTGACACCTTTCAAGCGCGGTTGCACGAGGCCTTGACTTCCGACAGGGCTTCGCCGAACGAGCCGTGGCCGAGTGCAGTGACGCTGAATCTGAATTTAAGTAGGGTTCCAGGCCGTGTCTGAGTTCGGGAGCTTCTCGCTTCTCCGGCCATCTAGCGGCTTCTTGAAGATAAGACAGATCCAGGATATTCAAGCAAAACAACTGTTAATCACGGATAATCACGGCGCATGCTGGGCTAGTCATCCAGGCGTTTGAACCTACTCGTAGGAAAGATAAAGCAGAAAATGTTCTCAGGTTTACTCGCCGAGTCCCCTCGTTGCAGACCCCCGCTTGTCGATCTGTCCGTGCATCCGTCCGTAAGTCTGCGGTCCGCCTATCTGCCGGCGTCTACTTGTCTTGAAATCTTCTTAGCTACTGAACAGAGTGCGGTATCCCTGCGTTTCTCTTCGTGGTTCGGTCTGGTAGTCCTTGGTCCGCGACAAGGAGAAGCAGATAGTTAGTAAACACCTCCATTGAATTCCGGCACGCCCAAGCGTCGCTGAATCTATTTCTTCCCAGATTGTTCATTCTTACTGCCGAGCATACCGGAAAACAGGAGATCCTGATGGCAAACTCAGCGCGCTCGACGGATCGCGAGCTCGGCGCCCAGATGGCACACCTTTGGTGGACTTCTTTCGGGAGCTGATTTGGAATCGGGGTGGATGTGGCTCCAAGCCTTGGCCCACAGGCTGAAGGATGGTGACATGCGGGTTGGATGCAGGTGGAGCTCTTGGGCTATGGAGACGCGAAGCAGAGCCAACTTCACCGGAGGGAGAGTTCGGGGTTGTTTTCTCAATCTTGGGAGCTCCGTCGTCGTTAGGAAATCAGCATATCAGCGGGCTTCCGAGGTCAGACGAGTTGGAGAAGCTAGCGCTTTCCTGCGCCATCGCCGTGGGCTCAGGCATCTACGACTACCGCTATACGGCGTTTTGGTATCCTCGCCCAGTTCCACAACTGTTGCAGCTTGAACCAGCGGCAGACTCATTGGGCTTCCAGTCCAGCTTGCGGATATTGCGGTGAGGTCAACTTCTACTTCAGATGCAGTGCCATTTCATCCCTCCGAAGCTGCTTGAGGCCATGAGGGAAATTTTGGACGAAGCTTTTGTCTGTCAGTGTGTGAGAGGGTGAACGCTCTGGAGTCAAGGAGCCTGCAGGACATGAAGGCATTCTGGCAAGGCCCCTCCGCCAGGAATCCCACCATCGATGCCATGTTCCCTCGAATCATGAAGTTCGAAGAGGACTGAGAGAAGATTCAATCGGCTTTGGTGACACGGTTGTTTTCAATAACCAAGCAGCTTGCTTAGCATGCAAAGGACAGGCAGGGTTCCCGGTCGGAATAGCGTGCAAAGGGTTAGCTGAGAATCTTCGAAGCCGCCGTCAGTGCTTTGCTCCTGGCTCAGGAGCTCCACAGCCCCTTGGCTGCTGATGTGCGGCTCGAGCAGACCTGGCTGGGAAGGTCCCTGGAGAACCTGCTGCAGTGCCGCGGCTTCGGATATAGATCCAGTACCCCAGTCTGTTCGTCAGTTTATAGGGCAGGTGCAAGCCAACGAACTGGTCTCGTGCTGCAGGCAATCTGAACGAATTCTGCGGTGGTAGTTGCATTGAAAAGAAGCTACGAAGTACAGCCTTTTGTGGACAGCGCGGGGTGGCCAAACTGAGGTGCTTCCAGGGAGGCAAAGTGCTCGTTCGTGGGAAGAAGGTGCCGAGAGCGCAGGCAACTCCTGATCTGGATCTTTATTGCATCTCGGACAGGTGACGATCCGAATCCTTGCCCAGATGGCCGATGTCATAGAAGGCCGCTGCCTCAGGAACCGTGTCTTAGGTCTTTCGTCACGATAGCCCGCGAGAGCACTGCTGGCCAGCAGCGCGCAGAGAGTTTTGTTTGGCAAGCTTGGCCGCACAGTCGCCTTGGCTGACAGGGCGCTCCTCCTATGAGGCCCGGCATTTGGTTTTGCTATTGAGATCTGTGCGAAGACAGAGGCAAAGGTCCCCGGCTGTTTAAGCTACGATTCTCGTGAGACGTGCTTGGACGTAACATGACATAACTCAGGTACCATAAGGCCATAAGGTCCGGTGTATGTCTCTCTGTGTGTATCTCTCTCTCTGTGTGTGTGTGTCTGTCGGTCTGTGAATATACACATATACAGATATAGATATGTGTGTATGCATGTGTGTGTTTTGCTCGTTGCTTGGAGCTGGAAGTGTCAGCACCTGTCTATCTTATTCGTTCATTTTCACACTTCGTTGGTTGCAGAATGCTGCTACGGCCTGCCTGGGGCGCGCATTTTTGCACGACAGGAGCGGAGCCGCCGCCGCAGGATGCGCACATTGAAGGAGGTGGCAGCGGCGGAGGCCAGTTGACGAAAGATCTCGGGGCACGCTGTTGCGATGATGCCCGCATCGAATGTTGCTGCAATTGTGGATGATGACGCTTCGCAACCTAGCAGCCTGTTGCGCAATTTCGCGCGCATCGTGGCAAGAACTACGGCTACTTAATCCGCTTCATCTCCGCTTCCCGAGCTCCACACAAGGCGAAGATGTGGGATGTGCAGGACGTCCAAAAGGCGCAGAGGTTCTTGGACAACCAGGAGCTATGACGAGCCATGCACGCGGAGATGTCACAGCATGCGTTAGAGGCACCGCACCTTAGCCTCAGTCTTTCGACTTTCAGTAGCTCTTCAGAAACTTTTCGGCAGTCGCATCGGGCCTTGGATCAGCTTGCCCATGCCGCTCGTCACCCTTACATGGATTGGAAGTCTCCGCAGGAGTTCGAAGACCGGATTGCACAGGCTGCGGTGCTGTTGCTGCGGAGAGACTAGATCAAGACTGCAGCTGCGGTTGGCGTGCGCCAGAGTAGCAGTAGCAGCTCTCGGTTGTGGAGAGTCGCAGTTCGAATCGGCAGAACCTGGCTTAGCTCTCGATTCAAAGAGATGTTGCCTGTCGTGGCTTCCAGAGCCGCTCCAACATAAGCCCTAAGCCGCCTGAACGGAGGCGCAACAGTTTGTTAGTGCTGGCGGCCCCGCTCGATTGCAGGAGTGGGCCCTGTGATGTGATCTTTTGCTTAAGTTGAAGAGTCTGGGATGCCGCTTCAAGTGCGCAGGCATGTCGTAAGCCTGCTGGCAAGTTAGCCATACCTTTGCATTGCTTCTCCGTGTGTAGGTGGGCAGAGGTGGAGAGGTAAAGATCTCCTCGCTAATGCAACATCGAAACCTTCCGAGTGCGAGCTCGAAGCCCTCAGCCTCTGCCATCCTGTGCCCAGATGCCGTGAGGACTTCCTGCTCGACCTTGCCGCGAAGGAGCGGGAGGAGTATTACATCGACCAGTATCTGAAGGCGTTGAGATGAGAAGCATACTGACCAGAGGCTTCCAGAAGCCCCACCACATGGTTGCATGAGTCTAAGCGGTCGAGAGCTTCGCAGCCCAAGACTTGGGGTTCGAAGATCTCACGTTTGTGTTTAAGGCCAGGGAGCTTGGGACCAGAGCTTTTTCAACATGTGAGGGCATCAAGCCTGTAAAGAAAGCAGCCTAGCCGTGGCCTAGCCGTCCCAAGTTCAGGCTGGGGACAAGCCTGGCGCGATTCTGATAGAGGCCGAGGCGAAGAAGGCCGGCCTGAGACTCGAACAACGTTGCTCTAAGCTCAGTTTAGAGTTTCGAGGTCGTAGCGGGGCATTTCAAAAGAGTCGCCCTCAGTAGTAGGAGTGGGCTTTTCAATCATCAGAGTAGTCGTAGGCATCTTGTCGTAGACGTTTCAAAAGGTGTCTGTAAGGCAGTGGCTGGTGCTTCTTCAAAGCTGTTCCCTTGTAGCACAACATGGCCGCCTTGAAGAGCCATGGCGTTGTCCTGTAGCCACTCAGCCACGCGTGTGTGCGTGTCGAGCCCTTTTGCATCGGCCATAGGCCGCAATGCTCGAGAAGATGGGGGAGGACCGCTTGTGAGACACGGTTTGGATCTGAGAAGTGGGTTTCCTCTTTCAGCAGCGAGGCTTCGCACCAGGTTGGGCCCAGCCAATGGCAAGATGCAAACTACGTGGTTACATAAATGGGAACCCCTCCTGCTATGCAGACAGGCAGCATTTCAGCTTTAGGTAGTCTGAAGCTTTAGACAAGCGAGATCCTGGTAGTATGAACATTTCCACCCCTGTTGTTGCTTCGGCTACAGCCTGCTGCTTCCTGCATCGAGTCGTCATCCTCTTGACCGGCATCTTTGCAACATCTTTGTGGCAGGAGCTCCACCGAGACGAGGCCTTGGAGGGGGACATGCCCCTTGGTGGATCTTGGTGACAACACATGGCTTGGACTTGAATTTGCAGGTGTGTTGCCCCTCCACCAGTGTCGGCCTTCAGGCCCACTGTAGTCAGTTCCCGACTTACATCTTTTCGGCCCAAGTGAGTACGAGAGGGAATAGCTGCAGAAACAGTGCAGCTCTCTTAATGCTCGTTTTGAGAGACAGCCAACATGGCAGTGGCCCCACTTGGCCTGTCATGGACGCTCTCCGATGGCATAAGACCTGGCAAAGACCAGGCTACGGCTCAACTGGCCTCGTCCGTCGCAACCGAAGAATCCGTGACGGTGGTAGGTGTTACAGGGCTGCCAGCCTGGCTCGAGGATACATCCTTGGAAAGCTACCTGGCAGAGCGTGTACAAGGTAATCTGCAGAACTTTGGCCTGATTCAGGGTCGAGTGGCGGTCCAGTTTCAGGCTACGGAGCCGGATGTTGACAGCCCTTCGGAATCCTACGACGAGATGCCTCATCAGGGCGTCTGCTTCAGCATGCAATTGGACTCCGGTGGCCAGTGGCCAGTCGTGAGGTCCATCAATGTGGACTGCAGGATCCAAGAAGCCGGCTCTTTCATCAACCTGGGTGTAAGCACCAGCACCAGCACAACCGTGTCCGACTGGGCTGAGGACGTATGGTCAGCTCGCCGACACTGGGAGCAGAGGTTGTTGTCCGGGCTATCTGCCTACATAAGGAGGCGAGAGAAGGAGGAGACTCCTGTGGACTCGCCGTTGTCGTCCTCCGTCTGGAACTTCACGTCCGAAAATTACAACCCCAAGCGCCAGACGATCAGAGACACTGAAGAATCGGTTTGGAGGCTATACGGGCCAAAGGCTTTGGGCCAGCTGCTGTCAGAGCTAATCCTGAATTGTGCCGTGAAGATCGCGGCAAGGTTCCTGGAAGGTACACTGCTGGATGTGCTGACGACCCTGCCTTTCTGGCCGGTTGGCCCCTTGAACTTCGAGGAGCACTTTCCACCATTGTCGAAGCAAGACATGTATGTCGACTCAGACAAGCAATTCTGTCCCGACCTGTTTTTGAGACTGGCGGCAGTGGTGTGGAAAGCAGCCTCTCAGGGCATGCAAACGTTGGATCTTGCTCTTTGGGAGCTGCGACAGCGCGGCATGCCTTTAGTAAAACTAGCACTGCACACGCCGGTGCTGTACAAGTCTGGCGGGAGGCATCGCAGTCTGTCGGGTCCGCTTCTGATGTTCGTCGTGGATCAGATGAACAAGAAAGAGTTCGCCACAGACTTGGTGCATTCTTTGATAGCAAGCTCTGCAGACCCCAATGCGGAGTATGTCCTTTTCCCAACCGGCAAGCAGAGGGCAATTGGAAGGTTCCCTCTCTTGTGCCTCGCGGGGAATCGGCGAGCCCACAACCTGGCTGAAGCTTTTCTACGTCACGGGGCAGATGTCAATTGGGAGACTTTGCTGTTTAGCAGATGCGACGTATTTTCTTTATGGTGTGCTAGGTAACTTAGGTAGGTCGGCAGTAGGTGCATACTTTTTGGTTGGCAAATGGCGAAACGGTATCGAAGGAGATCACGCTAAACTATTTCCCTCATGGTGGCCATGCGTTGTGGAGCGCGGTTTGGGGGAGCGACTATGGCATGATCCGGCTACTGCTGAGCTTCGGCGAGGCCGATGTGAATGTAAGAGCCTGGCATCCAGATGCTCCGCCGTTGACAGGGCAGGCGAGGCACTTGCCGCTTCTGTCATTGGCGTCCACTGCCTTGGACTCAGAACATGTACACCTCTTGCTCGAGTGTAAAGCCGACATTCAAGAGGAGCTGTCGCCTACATTTGCTGCCTGTCACGCTGAAGTGACCCGGTTATTGGCAAGCCACGTAGCCTATAGCCACCCCCAGGCAATTGTGCACAGGTGTGATGAACTGCAGGGCACCTGTGGCGTCTGGATCGACTGGGTGTTTCAAGAAATAGCTGGTGACATCACTTCCAAGCGGCTATTTCGCTCTGCGTTGTCAGCTGCCAGTGACGATTTGGACTTGCACAGGTCTTTCATGGCATTTTTGTGTGACTTAATCCAGCGCCTACCGACGGCTGCGGCCGAGCTGCTGGACAAGATCTGCCTGCAGAGCCCGCATGTCCAGGAACCGGGCCGACATCCGTTGAGAACGAGATGCCTCTTCCAGGCACACGAGCTGCACACGGCTTACGTTGCAGAGACCAAATGGGCACCAGACGGCACTAAATTTCAAAATACACTGGCGCCGCCTGCACGCCAAGCTGGAGAAAGGTATTGTGGGCTTTTTCCAACTATGCGGCAAGTGGAGTTCTGCGACATACAACTAGTCGGCATTCCAGGCCTTGTTGATGAGCGTGTTCTACTGTCGCTTCAGACATTGGAATGGGAAACGCTTGTGAAGATGCTCACGGGGAGCATCGTCTTCCAAGCTTTGGTGGAACACATGTGGAAAGCTGGCATGCGAAAGACACACTACATGCAAGCAGCAACGTCGGTGATTCAATTCTGTTGTTTGCTGATCTGGTGGCAAAGGCGCGATGGAAACTGAGTTGGGTGCTCTGCAGGCGGTCGAAGAGTTAGGTCGGCGCCGCGTATGCTCACCAATCGCAAGTGTTAATTACGACCAAAGATTTGTTCCGTCAATGCGTGGAAGGGCTTGAAAGGCCAAAGCCGGGATGCTCAGCATCCGAGTCCTAAACTCAACACCGCGACATCGCAGTTTGCTTAACAGGCCTTACAATATGTGCAAAGTGCCAACGACTGCGCGTTTGCAACCCTGACGATGCAGCCGCTTCATCCATTTCTTCACCTTCTGCTCCGGCTCTCTCATTCTGACCCCAATTCGTCCGATCGCTTATTTGCTTCCTCACTTTCTTGCCTGCTCTCTTTCTCGCTCTCCCTCGCGCGCCTTCTCTCTGTCTCTCTCCCTCCCTTTCGCTGCCTGTACTTCTGTCTCCGTGTCTCGCTCTCGCTCGCTCCCCTCCCCTCCATCCCTCGCCTGCCTGGCTGCCTGGCTGTCTGTCTGTTTGTCTCCTGCAGGACCGAGACTGGTGTGATGGCTTCGTGCTGGGCGGTATTTGCAGGATCCGTCGGTTTCCAGCTGTCGAACATCCTGCTTCTAATTCACGCGCGCAAGGTCCCTTTGCTGCGGCGTGTCATCCACGCTGGTATGGGCGTACATTTGGTGGCTTCCGGCTGGTTGGCGTGGGATGAGACCCCGCGAGATGATTACAAGTCATCCATGGCCGTCAACGTAGTTGCGGTTGTTGTATCCATTGTATACAACTGTCGTGTGCTCCAACCGTTTGGCATACGAGTCGGCCAGAGTATCTTGCCAATCCTGAACTCTGTTGGCAGGCGTGAATTCGCGGCGATGGCGATGCTGATGTTCGTTACTCTGTTCGCCACGCTCTTGTATGTGTGCATCGAGTTCGACACAGACGCAGCAGGTCTCACAACTAAGTTTATGTTGCGGACAGCCCGCAGTTCCAAATAAGTCGATGACAAGAAACCGCAAGCACGGAAGCCAGATCTGACCCCTGCAGGCTTTGCTTCAGCTGCTTTCCAGACATGGCAAACACTCATTGTGGGTGAGCCAACGCTGGTCGATGCCAGTGACAGCAATACAAACGTGATCAGGTATCTGGCAGTGTCTTTGTGCTTCTTTGCCTGCAACACCGTGCTCATGAACATTCTCATAAATGTCACTGGCTCCGTCTATCTCCAAGAGACGGCAAATGCCGTGGGCAGCTTGCAGGCAGAGAGGCTTCGCATTTGCGTAGAGGCTGTGGCGGGAGCTCACTTTACTCGGTGTGCAGTTTTCATAGAATGTCTTGCAGGATGGGGTCTTTGGCTGATCCTAATTCTCGCAGCTTCGAACATATGGAATGCGTTGAACATATTGATTGCTATGGCTTGCTGGCTTGTTGGCTTCTGCTTACAGTGGCATGTGGCACGGCGAGCAGCTGCCGCCATGGACAACTTCGAAGCATCGTCTCATGCGTTGGAGCCTGGGGCTTTGCGGTATCTTTGGATCTGCCGGCCAACAGACCACGCAGAAGTCCATGCCTCCAGCAGGCATCGCAGTAGCCGGAGTCCAAGAGCGGGCGAGCGCAGCCCCATGGCTCAGGTTCAAGCTCTTAAGTCAAGGTTCGACCGGCAGCCCCATATTCAGTTCATGGCAGACGACATGAAGTCCACAGTTTCGCTTTGATTTTGAAACATCTTGGTTCTCGTTCTCTGGGCAATCCTGGGCCCGAAGGGCCTTCAGGACGCGCCATGACATAGGACGATGGATGCTGCGCCGGTGCAGCCAGTCACATGGACTCAACATAGAAGAGCATCCTACTGGTATTTCATTATGCGGTATTTGGCTCAGTCTCAAATTCCGCACTCAGCTGCAGCCATCGTGGCAGTTGTGCGAGATAGGAGAGGCACGTTTTCTTGCTGCAGTCGCCAAAATGGTGTTCGAGAAAAACCAGCTCTTTTGACAAGTTCCCTGTCGGCGCTGCAGTCTACGAAAAGGCAGACCAACTTAGGAGCTCTTGCAAAGTTGGAGAGCAGAGTTACGACCTGACCTGAAGAGACCCGTGACACCAGTCGCGGCATGCCAAGACAAGGCAGCAAGACGATGACAACCTCTATGAGAAATCTGCAGGGAGAGAATCTCTCATGATCGCTATGCAGCGGGAAGAGGCCACGCGATCTTGCCTTTGAGACTGCACCGCAACCTTTCAGTTGTGTGAGTCAGCTTTCCATCTGTCGAGCCCGAGAGGAGCTGCTGGACGATGATCAAACGGGTCTGTTCGTGCTCCGTCCGGACAGCCTGGCTTGGGATGAGGAGAGATTGCACTGATTTGGGGGGTAACCTGCCACCGGTCCACGACCCTCTTCCCATCCCTCTTACTTCCGAAAATGGCAGACGTGAAGACCTTCTTGCGGTAAGCGAGTGCGGCTAGAAGTTTCTTGGCGAGGCTGTGCGGGCCATCTGAGTGGGGCTGGGTTCCTCGTGTCAGTGCCGCACTACCAAGCCAACCCACAGCCAGTGGTTGGGGTCACAGGATGCGTCCTTAAACCTTCGGGCAGGCCGTTACCCTTCGGGCAGGCCTGCGCCCATGTACAACCTATAAGCAAGTTCGGTGTCTTCAGTGATGCATCTTGAAGGAGATCTTCCAGGATGTGAAGAAGGGTATCGTCCCCAGCTAGAGCCCACTTTATCACAGCAAGTGAGCTCCGGGTAGGGCACTCTTGAGATCGCAACTTTCAGCACCACTATGCATGCTAGTTTTATTTAGCAGCCTGAGGTGAAACGCACCTGGTCTACGCTGCGGCTGCCTATCTTCGAATCGCTCCTTGCCTCTGCCCACGCACGCAAGATCAAGTTGTAGCTGCTGTTGGAACCGCGAGTTGTAGAATACGAAGGTGATCTAGAAGGCGTGGGTGGCAACCGATGGGACTTTCCCGCAAGATGTTGCTGCAGGCTTTCACATCCGCTTTGGTTCCCAGGTCCATGGGCTACTGGCCCTCCCACCACACCCTTCCTGCCGGCGGCAGATGCTGGATGACCTGAGACAACCGGCAGCCCGGCCAAGTGGGGGATGGAGATCAACCAAAATACAATTAGGATCAAGAAACATAAGCTAGGATCAACAAAAAAACAACAGGAAGATAGGAAACAAGGAAGGACGGAAGGAAGGAAGGAGAGAAGGGAAGAAGGAGGCAAGGAAGAAAGGAAGGAAAGGAACAAGGAAGGAAACAAGGAAGGATGGGAAGCAAGGAAGGAGATAAGGAAGGAAGGAAGACAGGAACAAGGAAGGCCAGAAGAGAAAAACTACAGTAAGGAAGGAAGGAAAGAGGAAAGGAATTCAGGTATACATACATACATGCATACATACAGACATACACACTCACACACATACATACATACATACCTACATACATACATACATACATACATACATACATACATACATACGAACATACAAACATACATACACACACAACACACGCACTCAGAGAGTACATGCTCATGTATTTCATATGTAAAAAATGTACAAGTATATATATATATACACAGACAGACTCTCACACATACATGCATACATACATACATGCATGCATGCATACACACACACACACGCACACACACACACACACACATATATATATATATGTCATATATGCATGCATGTCAATATCATAATTGGTACGAGCAGCATATGTACATTCAGTATATGTGTTTGAATCTATGTATATGTGTATATGTATATACATATACATACAAACAGTTTATGTACAGTCTTGTAGTAAGTTTTACCTGTATACTGCATGATTACTCTAGGCAAACGACTTGTTTTAAACTCATTTTCCACGCAGCAACGAACTACACTCCGTTCCGAATGCGATCCTTTCTCTACTGCCGCCGTCGTCAGATAGCTTATGCGAGTCCTTCAATAGCAGGTTTGCCTGGTAGGGGGAGGGGGCAAGCCAAGACAAGTGCGACCGGAACAGCAAGGAGTCATGAGACGGGACAGTGGCAGCGTACCACCGCCGCTCAAGCCAAGCCCAAGCCAAGCCCAGCCTAACCAAGCCATCCTTCAAACTGCCCCTTTGCGCTCCGTACCATTGCTGTAATTCCCAGATGGCGCGACATAACAGAGCAGCCTCGAAATTGTACTCCCCCCAATAGCTTGAGACAAAGCAGAACCCTGCAAACTAGAATTTCCCAATAGCTTGACACAAGACAAGAGCCTGCAAAATGTAATTCCTCACTAATTAGCTTGAGGCAAAACAAGACCTTGCAAATTGTAAGTCTTCAATGGCTTGATGCCAAGCAAGAGCGAATGCTGCAGTTTACAATTAGCTTGGGGCACCACAGGACCCTCTAAATTGCAATTCCCCAATAGCTTGATGCGAAGCACGACCCTGCAAATTCGAATTCCCCAAAAGCTTGGCGCAAGACAAAAACGTTCGAAATTTGGCCTACTACTGCTATTACTGCTACTGCTGCTGCTGCTACTACTACTACGACGACGACGACTACTACTACCACCACCACCGTTACAACAACTACTACTTCTACCATGTGCCAAGTCAGTGAAAAAATCATCATCATCATCTACTACTACTACTACTACTACTACTATCACTACTACTACTACTACTACTACTACTACTACTGTTACTGCAACTTCTACTGCTACTGCTACTGCTATTGCTACTGCAACTGCTACTGC